CAAATTCAGCAAAAATCGAAGCTCATTACCTCAAAATTTGCAAATTCGTGGCCAGGCTATTGCCATTTTGCAATAGGCTGGTTGCAGGCAAACATTACCGTTGTGATTTTGAATATACGAGGCGGGATTCAGACCAATTGACGTCATGCATATAATTTGCTTACATTAATGTATGGAAGATTCAACGCTAGTTACCGGACCCCATATTTTAAGTCCAAAGGACAATGGGGTCAGGGAAACATACTACATATTATGGTGTTGTTCCAGAAAGTTCTCTGGTCACTTGGTGGCACTCTAAAACATTGAAAGGCGCCCTCTCTGTCTGAAAGAGTCAGATTCATCAGCCATCCTTTTAATTTTAGTGTTTTGTTTTGTCGTCTTCATCATACTACCCCACAGTTTCCCTTAAAAATTAAAAACCCTGCCTTCTATCCATACCCTTCTTGTTTTAAACATCGCTGAACTACAGGTACATGTAGCTTGGCGAGTCCAATTACCTAAAATGGATTTTCTCTGACAGGGAAGGGGCCTGTAACTACATACATGTAGTCCCCTCAAAAATTCAAAACCCTGCCCTCTGTCCACGTCCACAATGTTCTCATTGGTTTTAAACATCGCTAACTACTTGGGTGAATCCAATAACCCAAATATTGATTTTCTCATAGGGCCTATAACTACGCAATCGCCAGCTTCATTGTTCTTGTTCACACATACAGCACACAACGCACATGCTGTATGTGTTGAATTACAAAGTAATTTCCATATGAGATATTCATGTACATTTAGTACATGAACAGCTATGGATCCACACAAAGCTTTTCGCATTACAGGCACAAAAGTGATGTAAAACAAAAGCCCCTTTTTCTCAGCTCCCTAGGGAGAATACAAAGACCATCTCAGCTCCCTAGGGAGTATACAAAGACCATCTCAGCTCCCTAGGGAGAATACAAAGACCATCTCAGCTCCCTATGGAGAATACAAAGACCATCTCAGCTCCCTAGGGAGAATACAAAGACCATCTCAGCTCCCTAGGGAGAATACAAAGACCATCTCAGCTCCCTAGGGAGAATACAAAGACCATCTCAGCTCCCTAGGGAGTATACAAAGACCGTCTCAGCTCCCTAGGGAGAATACAAAGACCATCTCAGCTCCCTAGGGAGTATACAAAGACCATCTCAGCTCCCTAGGGAGAATACAAAGACCATCTCAGCTCCCTATGGAGAATACAAAGACCATCTCAGCTCCCTAGGGAGAATACAAAGACCATCTCAGCTCCCTAGGGAGTATACAAAGACCGTCTCAGCTCCCTAGGGAGTATACAAAGACCGTCTCAGCTCCCTAGGGAGAATACAAAGACCATCTCAGCTCCCTAGGGAGTATACAGTATACAAAGACCATCTCGGCTCTCAGGGCAGGGCTCGCGAAATCGGTTGTCCGACGTCCCGGGACAACCAAAATATTTTGTCGGACAACCAAAAGTTCCAGGTTGCCAGCCCGACGGGCAACCACATTTTTTTCCACCAATACTTGCACATTTTTACACTTGATTGTAGTCCATGGGATTTTCGAAAGTTTCAGAATCCCTTGTGCACAGCGTCGAACAATAATCATGATAATCATCGCTATTTTGACTCAGCTGCTACGCTATCGCCATTTGATGTTGGTAATCTACGCATAAACCCATTGAGATCAATGCATAAACCATAAACGGGTACCAGCCAAAACAGAACAGCGGTCAATCTCAATCTGTACGTACGGTCCGGCTACATCGTACATCCTGTGTGTATGTGTGTTTCCAATAATAATGACCGGACCACTGTACATCATGTACCAGTGCGGCGCAGAGTGCGGGTACCATACACACGCACGCAACCTTGGTCGGCCACTGCCGGTGTCACGGTCTCACTTCTCCGGCCACAGTACGCACGCTTGCAAAATGGCAATAGCGCAGCAGCTGAGTATCGATGCAAAATATGTTGGTTGTCCCGGGACGTCGGACAGCCAATTTTGCGAGCCCTGAGCCACTTCAGGTAAAGCAGCCATGTACATAAACATTATTAGGATTTGGCATTCGGTTTGGGGCAATATTAAAGTTCTTTGTTGGGCAACTGAAATTGAAATTCGGGCAACCAGATTTCAAGAACCTATGCCCGAAGGGCAACTACATTTTAAAAAATTTCACGAGGCCTGAGGGAGTATACAAAGACCATCTCAGCTCCCTAGGGAGTATACAAAGACCATCTCAGCTCCCTAGGGAGAATACAAAGACCATCTCAGCTCCCTAGGGAGAATACAAAGACCATCTCAGCTCCCTAGGGAGAATACAAAGACCATCTCAGCTCTCAGGGAGTATACAAAGACCATCTCAGCTCCCTAGGGAGAATACAAAGATCATCTCAGCTCCCTAGGGAGAATACAAAGACCATCTCAGCTCCCTAGGGAGTATACAAAGACCGTCTCAGCTCCCTAGGGAGTATACAAAGACCGTCTCAGCTCCCTAGGGAGAATACAAAGACCATCTCAGCTCCCTAGGGAGTATACAGTATACAAAGACCATCTCGGCTCTCAGGGCAGGGCTCGCGAAATCGGTTGTCCGACGTCCCGGGACAACCAAAATATTTTGTCGGACAACCAAAAGTTCCAGGTTGCCAGCCCGACGGGCAACCACATTTTTTTCCACCAATACTTGCACATTTTTACACTTGATTGTAGTCCATGGGATTTTCGAAAGTTTCAGAATCCCTTGTGCACAGCGTCGAACAATAATCATGATAATCATCGCTATTTTGACTCAGCTGCTACGCTATCGCCATTTGATGTTGGTAATCTACGCATAAACCCATTGAGATCAATGCATAAACCATAAACGGGTACCAGCCAAAACAGAACAGCGGTCAATCTCAATCTGTACGTACGGTCCGGCTACATCGTACATCCTGTGTGTATGTGTGTTTCCAATAATAATGACCGGACCACTGTACATCATGTACCAGTGCGGCGCAGAGTGCGGGTACCATACACACGCACGCAACCTTGGTCGGCCACTGCCGGTGTCACGGTCTCACTTCTCCAGCCACAGTACGCACGCTTGCAAAATGGCAATAGCGCAGCAGCTGAGTATCGATGCAAAATATGTTGGTTGTCCCGGGACGTCGGACAGCCAATTTTGCGAGCCCTGAGCCACTTCAGGTAAAGCAGCCATGTACATAAACATTATTAGGATTTGGCATTCGGTTTGGGGCAATATTAAAGTTCTTTGTTGGGCAACTGAAATTGAAATTCGGGCAACCAGATTTCAAGAACCTATGCCCGAAGGGCAACTACATTTTAAAAAATTTCACGAGGCCTGAGGGAGTATACAAAGACCATCTCAGCTCCCTAGGGAGTATACAAAGACCATCTCAGCTCCCTAGGGAGAATACAAAGACCATCTCAGCTCCCTAGGGAGAATACAAAGACCATCTCAGCTCTCAGGGAGTATACAAAGACCATCTCAGCTCCCTAGGGAGAATACAAAGATCATCTCAGCTCCCTAGGGAGAATACAAAGACCATCTCAGCTCCCTAGGGAGTATACAAAGACCGTCTCAGCTCCCTAGGGAGAATACAAAGACCGTCTCAGCTCCCTAGGGAGAATACAAAGACCATCTCAGCTCCCTAGGGAGAATACAAAGACCATCTCAGCTCCCTAGGGAGTATACAAAGACCATCTCAGCTCCCTAGGGAGAATACAAAGACCATCTCAGCTCCATAGGGAGTATACAAAGACCATCTCAGCTCCCTAGGGAGTATACAAAGACCATCTCAGCTCCCTATGGAGTATACAAAGACCATCTCAGCTCCCTAGGGAGAATACAAAGACCGTCTCAGCTCCCTAGGGAGAATACAAAGACCATCTCAGCTCCCTATGGAGTATACAAAGACCATCTCAGCTCCCTAGGGAGAATACAAAGATCATCTCAGCTCCCTAGGGAGAATACAAAGACCATCTCAGCTCCCTAGGGAGTATACAAAGACCGTCTCAGCTCCCTAGGGAGAATACAAAGACCGTCTCAGCTCCCTAGGGAGAATACAAAGACCGTCTCAGCTCCCTAGGGAGAATACAAAGACCATCTCAGCTCCCTAGGGAGTATACAAAGACCATCTCAGCTCCCTAGGGAGAATACAAAGACCATCTCAGCTCCATAGGGAGTATACAAAGACCATCTCAGCTCCCTAGGGAGTATACAAAGACCATCTCAGCTCCCTATGGAGTATACAAAGACCATCTCAGCTCCCTAGGGAGAATACAAAGACCGTCTCAGCTCCCTAGGGAGAATACAAAGACCATCTCAGCTCCCTATGGAGTATACAAAGACCATCTCAGCTCCCTAGGGAGTATACAAAGACCGTCTCAGCTCTCAAGGAGTATACAAAGACCATCACAGCTCCCTAGGGAGTATACAAAGACCATCTCAGCTCCCTAGGGAGAATACAAAGACCATCTCAGCTCCCTAGGGAGAATACAAAGACCGTCTCAGCTCCCTATGGAGTATACAAAGACCATCTCAGCTCCCTAGGGAGTATACAAAGACCGTCTCAGCTCTCAAGGAGTATACAAAGACCGTCTCAGCTCTCAAGGAGTATACAAAGACCATCTCAGCTCCGTAGGGAGTATACAAAGACCATCACAGCTCCCTAGGGAGTATACAAAGACCATCTCATCAGCTGCCAAGGGAGTAGAGTATACAAGTACAGCTACATGACATTTCAGTGCAAAGTGTGAATTTCACAAACTAGTTTTGCCAAATGTGTTACAAATATCATAAAAGTGACACTGTTATCAACATATTATTTCTTGTGGGTTTTATTTGGGGGGGGGGGAGGTAACGAAACAGAAGACAACATTCCAAAAGACTGAAATTGTAACTGACTAAATATTTGTCAGATTCCAGGTGACTGTGTAAGTAATAATGCAATATTTATGTTGTATGTGATTGTAACTATTTTCTTTGCATACAGACTGCTGAACAGGGAAGGATCCCTTCTTGCTTATTCTGGGTATGGTGATAAAGATGCAAGAGTAACAGCAGCAATAGCAAGCAACATCTGGGCTGCATATGAAAAGAATGGCAGAATAGCATTCCATGAAGATGACTTGGACCTGGTCTTGATGGATTGCATGGTAAGTAGTGCTCAGGATGTACACCATCCCAAAGACTGTCTAACCAAGGCCTTATGCCAGGAGGAACAGGGCTATACTCTGACACACAGTAACAGCAACTGGAAAAAAAGAATTTGCCATGTAAAGGAGAGACTTTTAATGCAGAAAATGCAAAACATACACTAAGTAGATAAACAACAAAACAGAGACACAAGAGATTGCAATCACCACTATTTGTGCGATTTATTTTTTCCCTACCTTTCTAATGAGGAAAATGATGTAATTAACAAAATTTTAATATTCATACAGACATACATGTATTAAGAAGCAATTGCGAGAAATGTCTCTGCACTGAAATGAAACAATGAAAGAAAAACTTAACTCTGAACTATAAATAATTTAACAACCTACAGGTTAACAAAAATGGATAGAAAAAAGGGCCTTCCCTAGACTGCCCTCCAACAGGATTGTTCTGCCAACAGGATTGTTCTGCTCTAGATCCAGTAACCGGGCTGCTGGAATTCCTTTTTTGAATTTTGGTTTGGATTTAGTCGCACCAATCCAAACCAGAATTTAATAAAAGTCCTTTTAGCGCCACAGTTAGGCCTACTGGGTGTAGTTCTGCCCTATACATATATTGTGCCACTCCATAGGAAGGCACCTCTTGTTCAAAACAAGGCAAGCGTTCGTGAACACAGTGACAGTGCGGACTTATGTGAGTAATCGTCTAGGTATGAAGGTCGTTTGCATTGGTGGGATGAGCATATGGGGAGTGTGCTTGGGCATGGGGTGCTCATGTCTCCTGGGCTGGCTGTCTGAGCTGTATGCTGTAGAGCTGTAGATGACACAGGGATAGACACATCCGGTTCATGTGGTGAGTGTTGCGTGTTCAGAGAGGGGAGTCTCGTAGCGTGCTCTGCTGGTGTCGAGAGTATAACCAGTATGTGGTGCTGGTGGAGTCGGCTGTATAGTGGTGTCAGCTTCATCAACGCTGTCATAGAGATCTGACTGGTTAGCTGGGAAGGGCGAGTCATCATCAGAGTAAGAAGGGAAGGGACCTTAAAACATTCCGAGTGCTTAAAATGGTAGGATGTGCTTCTGAGCTGAATGCAATCCATTGACTGATGTCCAGCCATAATGTCATCTAGAGGTGATGTGATGGAAGCATAGTGGAGGACCAGGCAGGGAATTTAATAATACATGTAGTAATAACCGTATTTATAAAGCGCCTTCTCCAAAGGATACAAAGTGCTAGGGGAGAATGCAACCAAAAACCTAAATGTGTCGATCCAAGATAAGAGCATATATACATGTAATTACACCAGAACAAAATACAAGTTACAAGGTACGATTCAACAGATGTGTTTTTAAGAGTCCCTTAAACTGCTCTACTGATGAAGCATTCCGGATAGTAATGGGGAGTGAGTTCCAGCTACGGGGACCAACGATGGAAAATGCAAGGTCTCCAAACTTCCTGGAGGATCGAGGTACTACCAGATTGGATTGTGATCGAAGACCTTCACGTTTTAATTGGGTTTGCTGAAATCAGGTTTGTCCGAAATGTATGGTGGGAAAGTGTTGAATACAGTTTTGTTCAGTGCAATCCTAAAAGTGATCCGCTGGTTGACTGGAAATTTGCATGGCACAATGAAGGAATGCAGACCTGTGACTTTCTCCAGGGGTTGGGGGGGGGAGCTTGATGCAAGTATTGTGGTTGTGTTAGAGCAAATGACTGTCTTTTGAGGCCGAGGCGTAGATCGCATTTGCCCAAGTTACATGTATGCCGGACCTGCCTCTAATTATGCAACAGTTTGAGATAATTGTTGCTTCCATAATATGAATAATCTGCTACGTATCTTGGCTAATATGCCCTCCATCAGCAGGTCTCCTAGAACACAGCACGTAAATTCTTGAAATGCAGTTTCTGAACCACGCATACCCGTGGTGACCTGGTATGGACGTAGACTCTGGGGAATCGGGTGACTACTCTACAGTACTTGTTTGAATTTGATAGAAGGCTTACTTACTTGGTACTTGGTTGGTTTCCTCTTGAAACATCCTCTAGGGATCTTGACTAGGTCAGGTCAGGCTTGGTGAGGTAAGTAGCTATAATATTTTTCCAGTGCGCAATTTGTTGAAAAGTGGAATTGACATCAAGCCTTAGTGCAGGCTGTGCTTTGCTATAGTAACCAGCATTGGCAAAGGATGTGTCTAACTGAAAAAGACACCATTTGTTTTTTTTGACAAAAGCATGGGATTCAGGTATTCATCTGCAATGCCTATGTCTTATGGACGAGTAAAGATACCTCTTTTCTCCAGATTATCAGACTTGTGTTTAAGCTTCTGCATGTTGTCTGGTAATTTTGAGATGTCATTTGGGAGTTGTAACTTAAACTCTTCTGGCCAGACAGTGGTTGAACTTGAGAGGGCATGTAGTACTTGTGCACGGCTAATACTATGAAGCCTAGATGGTTCTTTGGGCGAGCTGTTTAGGAGTGTGGTTCCATCAGTGAGTGAGATCCGGCATTTGACAGGTCAAACAGCCAATCATTGGTCTCCATGAAAGGTGCACCACCAGGTGCATCAAATCCAAGTTCTCGACTACAGTGCCCCTCAACAGAAACTCACGGCCATCACGGGAAAGTGAGTGGCATCTTACCTGTTACTGTGAGTGTGGATGAACCATCTGCTTGATGAGTGGTTTGGGAGCTCTCCTTGATCATAGCCCAAAGGGGCTTCGCCATGGATGCACGTATCATGTTTTCTGTGGCATGGCTATCAATGTTAATGTAGATTGTGTGATGGCCACAGAAAGTGTCCCAGTAGGGATTGTCGGGTCCGGACCCTGTAGGCAGAGGGGGTGTCTGCATTCTGGCTCATGCTTTTTGGGTTGAGAGGGGATATGTTGTGGTTGATGCTGTTCAGAGAGACATTAGAGGGGCAAGGAGGCTGAGGGAATGAGGCTACCACGAGTCCAATATACTTTCATGTTGCAACCACATTTGAGTTATGTGTGACTCTGCAAGGGATGTACTTGCATCAAAACACTTGTCTAATTTCCATCCACCTCAAATTGCAAATGGGTCATTCAGATCCAACTCAATCAAAATTTCAAAAATATGTCGGTGTCTGACTCAGATTTGGCGTATACTTTTTCTTAACAAAGCTTTATAGGTGGAATGAACATACACAAAATGTTGACTCGACTCTGGTTCTTTTCCTGAGGTATGCCGCCCCTCTCCCCAAAAAGAAAAATCACTAGTGTCCACTCATATTAAGGTTTAGAAGTGGCTATATCAAGAAAGGAGATAATCTAGGCTGCTTTTCACAGAAGAAAACCAATAAATTTGGTACCCTTTACCGTGTATACTAATAGCACCACATCTTTCCTCTTAGAGATACAGGCCACTGAAAATGCCCACAAATCATTGATGCAACACAGGGAGTAAAAAATGGGGTGGGGCTAAATTTCTTCATGGGGGCATATCTCGAACCCGGAAAGGAGTTGAGAGCCAAAATTTGGTGTGTGTTCATGTACCTGTAAAGGTTTGTTGATAAATTATTGGCGAAATATTTTGTGTGTGTATTGTTATGTAAACACCGGCAATCGTGGACGTAGGACAAAAGGATTGGGGCGCAAACAATACGTCCACGATTGACCGAACGTCCACGATCTCAAATCGTGTACAAAACCAATGAGAGCTGTCGCTAAAAAGTTAGAGTACAAACAAAGGAAAGAGGATTAGGGACAATGGGGCGTCCACGATTGCCGGCATTTACACACACGTGGGGGTGTGAGTTTGTCTTACATACGCAGTGTGGACTTCCGAACAAAAGACGTCCACATAATGTAGGTAGCACCGACGTTGTGTGGACTTACCCCACGTCCACACAGTGTTTCCCCATTTCTGGAAAACAGGTTTAGAGGCATTTTTGGGTTAGGTTTATCTGTAGCAGAATGAAGAGAAACACTAAAGGGAATCATAGAAAAAAAATTGGGTTGAAAGAGTTTTCACAGTTTGAGAAAAATGAGTTTTTTCACTGGTTTTTCTTAACTACACGAAAGCAATGGAAAGTCCACACTAGTCATGTGAAACAAGTATGGGTGTGTGTGTGTGTGTTAAGTTTGGGAATGTAAGGTATGTTAACATCGAATTCAAATTCAAATGTGATTTCATTTAAAGACTTACAGAGAAAGTTCCTTTTCAATTTCATTTTTGTATCTTTTGGATAGGATGGAAGAGTTGCCATAAGCAAGGTAGCTAACCTTCTTCTGTGTATCTATGCCAAGGAGGAGGTTGGTTTTGGTCTTCTTAAAGCAAAGGTACATGTACTATCAGATTTAATTCTTGTTTAACAGAGAAAAGTGTGAAATGGACAGTTCAGTGTACATTTATTGATGACTTACCATGGCTTGTTCAAGCTTGAACAAGCCATGGTTAACGTAGTCCTTGGACAATTTTGTATACAAAAATAACTGCATCAGATGTTATTGTTCAGACCTAGAGCCATGAGAACAAATTGATAACGTCACTCGTAGTCAGTCATGCAGTCCTATCCTAGATATTATGTAACTCATTTGTTGTACTGTTGCCAAGTTAATGTAGCAGCCTGCTGCTGTTACTTTTCATACAGTGATCTAAACTCCAAGCAATGTTCACTGATGTAAGATTGAAGAATTTAGAATCATGTACATTGTATAGTGTATTATAAGCAGTCAGAAGTCACAGTCACTGACACTGCTCCCATTTCCATAGCACATCATGCATTCTTGAACTGAACATGCTTACCAAACACTTGTATTAGCTCCAGGAAGTAAACATTATTTTGGAGCACAGTAATGCAAGAATAAAAACCTGTGTTGACTTTTCCCTCAGATAACAGCACTGACAGACTACCTGCAAGATCCTCTTGTACAAGTAGCAGTTTCTTGACAATGGCCAACTGTACGAATTTCAACAGTATGTCCTTGATCAGTGGTACATTTACATGTATATCTGTATTTAATTATAGGCTATATTTGCCATTTCTTCCACATGTATAATATGATGCTATTACTAGTATTCTTGCAAGATTTAGCAAATCATGACTGATGCACTTGTTGAAGGAGAGTTGCATTCTGAGCTACATGTATTATACAAATACATGTACAACATGGTTAATACAGGTTTTCCTTGCTACTTTATCAGTAGCGTATCCAGCTTACGATGTCAGGGGGGCAACTGCACATCCCCGCTGAAATGTAGACATGTTTTTTCTCCGGACACTTGGCCTCCATAAAATCCAAAAAAAAAGGGGGGGGGGCTTGTATCCAACTTCCAAATGGGGGCGCTCTTCAAAACTGATCATTATTATGCATACCAATGGTTTTTGAGCGGGTTTTTTTTTTTTTTCAACAATTATTTTAATAAATGGTTAGAGTGTTCTGACATCAATATGTCAGAACACTCTAACCATTTATTAAAATAATTGTTGAAAAAAAATTATTTGTCACAAAAATGGGGGGTGCCCCCCCCCCCCCCCCCCCCCCCCCCCCCCCCCCCCCCCCCCCCCCCCCCCCCCCCCCCCCCCGATACGCCACTGTACTTTATCACTTGCATCATTTAAATTCCATGGAAAGCTACTTTTGTTCCGGAACACGTTTAGCTCCATTATTAATTTTGAATTTACACCAATAGATGTCACATTTGTTTCAGTGTTATTTGCAAATGTAGCATTCAGATTTGTCCTTAGAGTTTCCAGAAATTCCTCTCATGTGAAGATTGGTGTTGAATTGAACATGTTGAAAGGGACATTTGGTTTTCATCATGATTTGGTCATTGCATTTCATTAGTGCCAAGTTGAAACTTTATGGTTAAATACGTTTCTAATCTCTGCGATTTTTTTATATGAGAAGTTTTTGTGAAATAGCTTCACTCTTGCTTTCTTTATTCACCGTGTTCACGTGAAAAAGTAGTCTAACATTATGAATATCCCTTTGTTGGGCCTCCCACAGTGTTTCAGAGGATGATCTTTGTTATTTTAATTCAGTAACAGTGAATGCACAAAAGGTTTACTAATGCCGATCCAAGTATACAAAAAAATGCCCTCGAACTTGACCTTAACGATGTACAAACTGAATGAGTGAAGAATGACAGTAGCACAAAAATGATTTGACAAATAATGAATTTGGCTTTTTTTTTTAATTCAACACCAATCTCCACATGATACAAGTTTCCCGAAACTTTGACGAATTTGAATGCCATATTTGAGAATTACACTGGAACAAATATGAAATCTATTGGTATAAATTCAAAATTGGAATTAACAATAGAGCTCAACGATATTCTGCTATGAAATGATAACATCTTTCTGTGGAATTGGAATGATGCAAGTGTTAAAGTAATGGGGAAAACCTATAACTGAGGTGAAGTAATGCAGAATTACTTGGTATTACAAGGTAATTATCTGATTGGAAAACATGAAGTAGAAAACATCGGGAATATTGTAGTGTATTGTTTTTCCTCCAATAAACCATGTTGTATTGGTTTATAGTGCTTACAATATTTACATTCTCTGTAGTTATTATGATAGTATGATGATCGTACAGACAATTGTATACAGCTCTAGGCAACAGTTAATAACAAGTAAGCAATCTTTGCATATGACTCATACATGTAAATGTAACATCCACATGCTCTTTATTTTTCGAGAGCTACTGGACTAGATCGATGACATACATTTGTATTTTCTCAACTGTACCACGTAATATATGTACAGATGTAATTACAAAACCTGTGACCATTTGGAAAATGTTTTGCAAAACTAAACATGGACATCTCTATAAGCATGTTTTATGATTAAATACAGCCAACAAAAGTTGAGTGTTGTGTCCCCATTTCCCTCCAAAATCACATCCTAAACTATTTTCAGTGAGCCTTGCTTTAATTTTGAAATTTGAGACTTTGGCTATTCCTGTCCTTGCTACATCAGATTGTGGATAGTAGGCTTACATGGTTAATTTCAGCTGGTACCGCTAGGGTCACAAGGTGTGACTGACAACAAAGAAAATGGCTTTATCTCATAAGCACATTTGTTTTTAAGGATCTTAATAAATTCTTTTTAGTTTTTGTATTTAACTAAGGGAATAAATGTGTGCTCGAGAGGTTTTTATCATTCTGTTTAAGACCGCTTAGAGTCTGGGTGCTGATATCCGGCTCGGGTAATTATCAGCAGCCAGACTCTAAGCGGTCTTAAACAGAGTGATTAATACCGACCGACAACATATTCATTCCCATTCATAAGTACCTTTTCGGTCAAAAAAATATAATATTCCCGTCAAAAATCCCAATTTTGTTCAACAAGTTCCCTTCATGCTTTTTTAAACATCCCTCTAGCTAAATAATGGACTTTTCAGCTGGCGATTAAGATGTAAACAACCCTTTTATGGAGATTGACGCGCGCGTGGCACGTTCTGCGCGATGTCGCGTGGAACGCACCTGGGGCGTTGCGTTTTGAATTTAGAACTATAAAATTCGGACTCACTGGTAGTGTTGCGCATGCCTACGCGAGGACTGTGAACGTTCAACCAATAAAACGGTAAGAGCACTGGATTTTTAGGAGTCCACATTTTATGTGACACTGGAAAAATGTTTAAGACCAGCTAGCCATGTCTTTATCATCCGTTTAAGACCAGCCACGTGACGGGCTCTCGACCAATAGGAATGGCTAAACTGTCTGAGGTATTTATGAATATTAAATATCAACACCATAGTATTTGTAACTTTTTTTTCAAAAGTACAGAATTGGAATATAATGAAGACAATGCTTTTGGAATCCAGTTTGTACTCGATTACATATTTAACAGTCCCCTTGTTGATAATTTGTACTGGTTGGCTAAAGCAAAGTCATGTGATGTTGAATTAGACATGCATTATAGAGTGCACAAATCAGGCTCTTTGCATGCTTTCAACAGTTCTGAACTTAAAGGGAATATACAACATTTGCAAACATCGAAAAATAAAACTACCAAGTTTTTACGAAATACCTTACTAGAATGTTGGTAAATGACAGTTTCAAGCATCTTGTAAAATTATGGCACCTGGTGTGAAGTCATTTTCAAGAAAATGGTATTTTTGTAAATATTTCCAACGGTGGTCGGCCAACCAGCGAAGGAAAAACCCAACTATTTTTCAACTACTGCTCCAAATTTCCAATTTTTTTCAGTCCAAATTTTGTTTGCTATTGGTTACATGTTCATGAACGGGTGCAGGCCAGCTAGACTGGTTCCCTTGCCTTACAATTTTCCATCATCTATAAATTGATCCATTGTATCTTTTGTGGAGTCAGGGAACCAGACTACTTGAACATTTTTGTTTTTCTTGGTTTTTTTATAACCTTTTCGAACACAAAACTTCAAAAACGTCAGTGTAACAATATTTGATCTATTATACTAACCTCGCATATAGTTAATTTCTGAAAATTACAGCAAAAGCCAATGATGTACATTCCCTTTCAATAGCTCCATCTCAAAGAGTTCAATTATGAAACTGTAAAACTGTCTCTTATCTCATGGGATATCATGGATTGTTGTGTGTAATAAAACGTGGACTAAAACAAAGCTGTCCTATGTCAATGTATGTAGGATATTATGACCGTTTCAGTCTTTGACCCACCACCTCTGCCTCTTAAGGGTTTGAACACATTCTGATAAAGAAGTAGTCATGCATAATCTGCGCCACTTGGCCACAAGAACCAGTGCATGCACACGCTGTGTTCAACACATCAGGCTCTCAAAAATGTTCACTAAGTGCCATAAACTATTCAATCAGTGGCATAAATCTGTGCCAGGGACTGGGTTGGGGGGGGGGGGGGGGGGGGGACTTACTGGACACCACATGACATAGGGGGCACTGTTCATGATACAGATGCTCAAAATAATGCACATCTTATACATTTTGGTTGTTTCTCACAACGAAAAAGTAGGGGGATGATCCAATAGCCCATCCCTCCCTAATCAAAAGTGTGTGTGTGCATGTGGGGGATATTTACGCCCCTGTATTCAATGTTCACGCATACTGGCATGGGCGTCGCCAGGATTTTTTCTAGAGGGGGGAAAAACATTTTCCAAAAAAATTCCCGTATTTCTCCACATATTCTCGATTTCTTAGTTTTAGAGGGGGCAGGGCAATTTGTCCCCCCCCCCCCCAACTCATTAAATTTACACCACTATGACTTCGCGCCTCTCTTTTTTTTTTTTTTTTTTTTTTGCTTTTCCAGGGGGCAAGCGACCCCCCCTTCCCCCCCCCCCCCCCCTCGCGACGCCCATGGGCATGCACCCTTGAATAGTGATATTCTGCATTAATGTTGGTTACCAAGCGTCCATATACCTGGAGGATGTACTGTAAATTTAATTTTTTTTTTTTTCCTATTGCAGGTTGAATTGTCTTTTTTTTGGGGGGGGGGTGGCCTATTTGTCCCCAAAACATTGTGTCAAAAGTCAAATTTAGCAGGGAAAATATTAAAGCATTTACTGAAGAAAACACATTTTCAGACCAGCCTCGTAGGGTTTTGTGCACAGGGTGACAAGTGATGTCCAGGTATGGAAATCTTTCCAATAACTTTTATATTGTTAAGTTAAAAAACAAAATCTATTTGTTAGGCTAAGCATCTAATTGAATAGTACGGACAGTAGGCTACATCTTTAACTTTCATGTTCTCTAAAATCAGCTTGTGGAGACCATGTTCTTTTGTCAGAGTTGTAATGACTCGAGTCAATGACTCGAGTCACAATTTTTGGTGACTTGACTTGACATGAGTCCCTAAGGGCAAATGACTTGACTCGACTCGGGTCACTACGAGCAAATGACTCAAGTCCCCAAAAATACAAGCAAAACTTTACGAAAAAATATTTGCAATGACTTACGCCAGTGCCGGTTTTTGTTCACATCATGTTAGAATGTCCACAAATAATGTACATGTACACTGTATATAGTAGTCAGGTGGCTTAGGGCCAATTTTTGACAAGATCTTGACCGACTGGTCCAAAGCACCAAACTTGGCAGATAGATTGTTACAGCCTTAGAGAAGATATTTAGAAGGGGTGACACCTGTAATTTTTTTGGGAAGGGTACCTAATTTGCATAAATTGTTTATCCCTGCCGGGTAATATATTTATTGCCATATTTGGGTATATTTTTAATTTTTTTTTTTTTGAAAAGTATATTTTGGTGATTCTACTTACACATCCTTACTTCAATTACACTTTCTAAAGCATTTAATACTGACTGGACAATTATGAGGACATAGTAACGATCCAAAATGGCTACTTTTATATCCTACAGTTTTGCGCATCATTCTTGTCTTCAGATATCATCAAGTTGTCTTGCCAAACCTTAGTATTGATGAGCTTCACAGTCACCAAGTTGCTTACTGACTCAGTTACTCGATTAAAACTCCATGAAAAATCATGTGAACAATGATAACGTGATATTTAGCCCAGAACACAAAAATGGGGAAAAACGAGGCGTCTGTAAATTGGGCTAAAAAGTAGGTGAGGGGTTGCCTATTAAACGTGGGGACTTTAAAAAGTTTGAGGAAATTCCCAAAATTATTGGCAAGAAAACATTTGGACGTAGACATCATTATTTTTAAAAACAATAACTCTTATTTTGGGGGATTCATCCTTGAACTTGATCAAGTCCCCATATGTTAGGCAACCCTTCGCCTCATTTTAGCCCAATTTACGGACACCTCATTTCCCCCCCCCCCCCCCCCCCCTTTTATGTTTTTGTGGGCTAAATATCAAGATGATATAATTTTTCACACGATTTCCCATTTATTTTGGTTAGGGCAACTCTGCCAGTAAGTAACTTTGTGAATTTGAAGGTCATCAATACTGAGGTTTGGCAAGACTACGTGATGATATCGGAGGAAAAAGGAAAGGCGCGCAACTTTGGGGTATAATGGTAGCCATTTTTGATCTTTATTATGTCCTTATAATCTTCAAATCTCCGATATGCTTTAGAAAGTGTTATTGAAGTAAGGATATGTTAGTAAAATCACCTAAATATACTTTTCAAAAAATAAAAAAATAAACATCTACCCAAGTATGGGAATAAATATATTACACGGCAGGGATTAACGCTTTATGCAAATTAGGTCCCCTTCCCAAAAGAATTTCAGGTGTCACCCCTTCTAAATATCTTCTTTAGGGCTATAATAATATATCTGCCAAGTTTGGTGCTTTGGACCAGTCGGTCACGATTCCGATCGTATGCCACCTGACTATAGGTATACATGTGTGGTTTGATCAGTGTTCCCATTAGTTGAATGGCGATCAGCTGGCACCCCCTTTTCGAAGAGTCAAATTTCATTAAGAGTCGAATGTGGTACCACCACATGTATAGTAGCCCGAATGTAACTTTAAAAGGCCAAAAAATTACTTTCTCTCTTATTTATTGTATATTTATCAAATACTTGCGACTCAACTTGACTCAAGCTAAATACTTGACGTGAGTCAACTCAACTACACACTGTGACTCGACCCGACCTTCTTGACCTAATAACTCGACTTGAGTCACTTCTTTTAAATGACTTGACTCGAGCCACACAAATCACTTGTTACAACTCTTTCTTTTGTTTATGGTGTAAATCAAGATTTTCTATTGTTCCTCATCATCAATCTTTTGTTTATACTCTACTTTTGTTTTCTAATCGAGGCCGTCCTTGATTTGACTCCAGTCCTCAATTACTTGACGATGCTTCACATGTGTATGTCCTCGATTTACACCGTAAGCAAGCATATGTACCATGTGTGGCACTCTCGGCTATAACATACTTGGTAACACACTTCTTGCCGATTCTTTTATATAATTTGCTAGAAACACGTCATAGAGCTTTATTAAATTATTTGATATAGCTCTGTGAAATACAGATGTGGGGTTCACTAAAAAGGCTCCTTATGACATATGTGTCAAGGGTGAATGAGCTCATATTGTCACACACACGTGTGGTAGGAACCATTAGGAATGGTGCACATATTGGCGACGCATGAGGCTCAGAACAAAGTTGCTTGCCTAATTAACCCTAACCTTCCTAAATCCTCCAAGTCCTCTTGGCAATATGGTTGATTTGCAGGAATGTGCGGCTGATTTTGGAGGATGCACTTTGTCAAGGTCTTGGGCCAGACCTTGTGTTGTTTATGGTCAGCCGTTCATAAATTTAGGCTTAGATTATACTTGAAATCCTCCGCACTGCTCAAGGACATCACTGGCTCTGCCTCAACCCGTGGTCACCCTTCAAAGGACCACGTTCAAGAAATAAAGGAGGATTTTGCAGGATTGAGGCTGTATGCAATTTTTACATGGAGGCAGTTGGAAGATTTTGCAGGATTGAGGTTACATCCTAGCAAAAATGTCTTGGGAGTTAGGGTTAATCACCATTTTGCATTACTTTATCGGGCACATTTCTGATTGGGCACACTATCGGCATTGTCTAACTTGCATCCAAATATTTAGATGTACGAACATGTCAGCCTGGTGAATAATCGTGCACACAATGATCATTTGAATCAGCCGCTTTCCAAGCTGCACGCAACGCCCCTACTACGTGCATCATTTGTCCCCAGAGCACAGTAAGGTGGTTACTGCACCAAAATGATGGCACTTTAGTCAGGGCCGTATCATAAGTCCAACGCCTCGTAGGTCCGACACCTCATAAGTCCGAAATGAGGCGCCTCATAGGTGCGATGACTCTGTCAACGGCCGTTTAAAACCTTGCAGGGGCTTGGCAGTGATGACTTGCAGGTCACAGGTCACGCGAAATCTATCCAATCGGAGTGTAAATTCATCAGCCCGTCCCAGCCTCCTGTTTGCAGGGCGGGGGGTACGAGCGAAGGACAGTCTATGAAATATCCCCTGGCACAGCAAGGTCTATGATATGCAAACAGATTCAGTGATTTATTGTGCAAAACAAGACTGTGACTTGACCTCGAGATTCTGATCATTCAGCGGGTGCATTCTATATCGGGTCTTCGGTTACCGGTTGTCAAAGTCATCTATAAATGAAACCTAGACACGACATCTATTATTCAATTAAGTTGTGAATTGAGCGAAAACAGGCTGCGTCTCGTGGCCTGTAACGATATGTTAATACATGAACGTCCTGTGGCTTCAAATGATCATCACATTTTAAATAACTAGTGCAGGGCCCGTTGAAAATGTGCCTGTGCATAGAACTGCTTATAGTACAAACAACGCACACGATTCACTGGTGTTTCCACAGGTTGAAAGCACACTTACAGGTTAAACGCACACTTTGTACACGTCATCCCCTGGCACTAATATTTACCCATACTGGACAATGGTATCGCCCTACAGTAAGGGTTACTCAGTCAACCGCCTACAGTGACGGTTGTTCAGTCGACTGCAAAATGCATGTGCCCCTGCAGCCACACACATACGTACTTGTACATACGGCCGACCGGAGACAAAAATTAATGGATGCAGTGCTTGGTCTATTCACCCATACTGGACAATAGTATCGCCCTACAGTGACCGCAAAATGCATGTGCCCGTCCTTTTTCCATTGTTGCGTCATATTGAGCCAATGTCTTGTCTAGGTTTTATTAGTACATCATGTTGTATGCCCATGTTACAAAAACGTTGTTACAAAAACATGGCATAAAAATTGACCAATCAACAGCTTAGTCCTCATTTCCAAATGAAATGACTTGACAATTTTGTATAGTTGGCTCCACTGGGTCGCATAAATTTGCATGCTTATATATATCACATGTTGGAAAGATACTCGGACTAGCCACCAGCCTGTGAGTGACCATCAGTTCTGCGAGAAGATCAATAGAACCACGCAGCTTGGTAGACACACCCTTGTTTCGGGGCTGCCAATGGCCTGGCAACGAGATTCAACGATGCACTCATCCTATCTGTGCAGTAAGCGTGCATCATGTACCAACAATGTGTTGTGCAATAATCCTGCCAATGTACATTGTACATGTATGGGAATACAAAGTATATGTACATGTATGTACATGTAAATGACATATAGACATTCACATGCTCATCAGCAAAATGGCCCTGCCATGAAATAGATACATGTATATGGCAGTTCAAACTAAAATGAATTATCCAAGGGGAAACACACAACCTTTTAAGGATTCCTTTTCAAAGTCTTTTCCATACACTCACTTGCATACACTGCACTCACCATTTCCCCCAGGATCACCCCCTCTCCCACCCCCAAAAAATCTTAGACCTCAACAACTTGCCAACCAAGTCCCCCCCCCCCCATCAGTTTCTGATTAAAAATAAGACTAGAAAAGTAACAGAACAAACCAAAAAAGCCAAATCTAAAATTATCAAATATTGATTTTAATTGAAAACAGAACACAAAAACTTAAAAAATATCCAACATGTGCAGACCACCTCCAAGGAAGTGATTACATAATGTGGTAACTAGGTAAAGTCAAAAGCTTTAGTAACCCTAGTCACAGATCCGTGCCCTTGTCAAGTAGCTCTAGACTTTATTACTTACTCCTTTTAAAAACAACAAAAACTGTACCTATACTTTTTCCCAAAACACTTTTAAAAGGCAAAGTTAAGACAAGACCGTGGGTGAAATGATAGAATTCCTATTAACGTCTGTTTTGAACATGGCAGATATTCTCTAACTAAAATACATACTGGGAAAATATATCTTTCCTGTCCTTAATCCTATCAGACTGACTGGGCTGGGTGGGGGATAACACTGTGGCTGATCAACATGACATTCAGTATCAGATTTTGAAATTTCATTGGTTGATAACTGTTCACATGACATACTGAAACAGTTTATTTATGACGATGGACTGCACATAGTACATCACCTCATGTTACCCAGTAAAACATCACCTTTTCACTGTTGTCAGAGACTACGGAGTATTTTCATTCCCGCTGCTTTGTACGACATAATTAGAGAAGACTCTGTGCACAAGGTGACTAATGTTACCAAGGCCGGGGCGTGTCGATGCAGAACCGCGCGCTTGTCAAAGCAAAGTGTACATTATCAAAGACCAAAGCACTGTTCAATTAAAATGCATAAATAGAAGTGTTAAATCAGTACTATCCTATATTTACTTTACTAAACCGACATTTTAATTATCATATTGTTTAAATACTCAAACATGTTAAGAGGATTTCCTTTTGACACTTACTTGGGCGACTGTAGTGCATTTTGGAAATCCAATATTGCTACCATGGACATGAACAACCATTTACAATTTTCCGTATTTTTGAGCTAGTTTCTTTTTTCATGAGAAATCAAAATTGATAATTTATAGACTTCACTTCAGTCATATTCAGTGAAAATTTACTTGACCTATCATACTTGGAAGCATCTGAAAATTCTGAAGCTCTGCCATGTTCAAAGCTAAATTAGGCAATGTGTATAGATGTAACAGTGCAGGGTAGCATGCCAAAAAGGCATCCTGATAGGATCAATAGACAAGAGATTCCCAGTCAAAAATTCCCCTTTTTAAACATCTCACACCTCACACATATTATGTGTACATGTATATGTCTATTAAAACTACTTTTTTACACAGCCATATTGATTTCCATTGGACAAAGACACAGCTTAAATATATTCAAACCTACAACTATGGCTGTTGAACAAAGGGTGCTCTATTTTTTTTTACACAGAAAAGACAAATGTACATGTGTACACACTGGATCACAGATTTAAAAATGGCTAAAATGCTTAGTTTTTGGTCTGGACTGCAGCGGAGTGCTCCTGACATGCCATAAGGAATGCTATAATAAAATACAGTCTGTTGTCCATGATTACTGCCTTCTCATGCCTTGGTCATCTTCACACTTGATAGCCTCATATGCAAGCACCACAGCAGGGTTCTTTTTATCTGTTGTAACCACTGGTGGATTTATAGGATCCCCACCTGTAGTGTAAAAAAACAGTCACGGAAAAACGTTACCCCCCAAAGCCATGGTGCATTTGACATAACACTTCTCAAAACACTTCAGATATGCTATTGAGAAACACAAATATGACATGCACAGGTAAAGAAGCACTTGCACTCCTACTGCAGGTATAGACCACTGTAATGCAAGGCCTACTTGGCCCCTGAACCAAGCTAAAATAATTGCTCTTAATAACTGCCTTAGTAGAGAAAACTTTCAACATAATTTAAGGGCAGAGCACCCCCCACAAAGCCACACACTTCTCTCAATGCAAGATCAAAAGCTCAATCTTAAGTTTAAATCCATTCAGTTCCATTTCTCAGAGCTTTGAACTGACTTTTTGTAAATAAAACTTAACGAGTCTTGAATAAATCATCAGATTACATTATTATTATTTACTTAACATGAAACCAATATACTACATTTTGTCAAATACTGAAATCTTTATTTAACTGCTTTGTATAGCAAGTGAAAACTCAGTACATCAATCGGAATCAACATGCCGTTCTTATATGCTACATTTTTCAGCATGAAATATAGTGTAACAATAAAAACTGGACAATATAACCAAACTATGAAATATTGATGAATCAAGGTTCAAAGAAACTGTACAAAAATGCACAATTATTCCGCCTTTAAAGAAAGTAATTATCCTCCCTACGGCAACAGTGAAACTGCTACAGCCAAGTCTGGTTTTTCTGTTCGGTGACCAAGTTTAAAACGATGTGAACCAAAGCACTATTTTTCTTTTGAGATTACAAATTATCTTAGTATGTTTCTGTTTGGCTTTCTGGCTGAACTTTAAGCCAAAAAAATATTATCTGGATCTATTGTCAGGCAGGTTGAACGAACATAAACAGATCTGTAAATTTAATTGTTAAACCACAGAAGAAATTGTGTATGCACTGTCTAAGCAGAGCCCTTTTGGGGGATAATTGCTATTGTGACACAGCTGGACCAAGTTGTGGCCCTCTCATTCTTAAGGTATTTCTCACCCACAAACTACTTATTCGAGACTCGCATCCTAACCACAAACAGGTTAGGTAATATGTACATGCATGTTCTTGGCAAAGGGAATATGAAAGATGCAACTACCCCCCAAATCTGCAGGATTTTGTGCATGTGTGGGGGTGTATATGACTGTTGATGTTAAACATATTACTTGTTTGCAGAGGGGGCAGTACTTTGCTGATACTGCTGCCAATAAGCCATTGCCTGATAGTACTGCATATACTGCTGTTGTGCTGCTGTATACGCTGCAGGATCCATACCAGCAGCTGCAGGTGCTTGCAACTGCTGGCTGCTCATTGCTGTTTGTGGTTGAGCTTGCTGTGCCTGCTGTTGTGCGGCAAAGGCTGCTGCTTGTTGCTGCAATGTACTTGTGTCAATTTTCTGTTTTTGTTTGGGTAGCTGTATTTTGGGCTGCTGCTGCTGCTGCTGTTGCTGCTGCTGCTGAACATTTTGCCTTGAGGGTTGCTGTGAATTATGACCCCCTGCATGTTGAATCATGTTCCTTTGCTGTGCTATTCCCTGTTCCTGGGTTTGATCTGATTTGATTATATGTTTTGGTCCAGCAATATTAAACTGCTGAGGTTGGTTCATATGCATTGCTGGTCTTCTTCCAGGGTGATTAGGTGGACCTTGATTGGTTGGTGGTTGGAAACCCCTTTGTTCTTTTCCATGGCTGCTATGTTTGTCAGTATGCATACCATGTTCAGAGTAGGCTCCTTGAAATCCAGACGGTGGGCCAGACTTGCGTTGATTACCATTACCAAAGGGCCCATTTCCATTATTCCCTTCACCATATGGGCCATCTCTACGGCTCGCACCGTACTCTCCACCTCTTTCTCGAAAGCCTCCCCTTCCACCCACATTGCCTGGATTGCCCCCTCCCCTAGAATTTGTATGAGAGAAGTCATTGTTGCCATACTTTTCATTGACTGTTGTTCCATTGTAGCCAGCATTCCGTCCCCTATTACTGCCTCCATAACCATCAGAGGATCCACGATGGCTGCCTCCTTGACGATAACGCTGTCGTCCTAGTATGCAAAACAGAACCATACATTTCATTTCAGTAAACTGTAAGTGATCCATAAGTGTTTTAATCCAAAATGCAGTCAGAGATGGTTATTTGTTACAAGACGGTCAATAGATCAGATGTGCATGTCAAAGTCCCGTTGGTTATCAATATCTGGCCTTTTCATTGCTTCCTAACAAAATCATCCATTTCCAATTTAGCATGTAGAAAACATACATGCACCACTGGTTAACAATTCAGTCTTACCAAACTATAGGTACAGTAGTCGGGAATGTTACTAGAAACACAGATTTGTTTCTGTGGCATGCCTCTTTGAAGTAATGTTGCATTAACGCTGCATTATTTAGTAACAAGACAAAATGTTTCAGTTTTGAAAACTCCACAATTCCAATTTAGCATTTAGAAATACATCCAAACAATTTACAATTCGCCGTGTCCCAAACTGAAAATATAGTAGATTACCACCGAAAAACTTGTGTCTGTAAAATGCATCTTTACAATAATGTCAGGCCCTATTGTTACGTTAAACTTGCAATTGTTTTGTTCAGAAAAGGACATGTTAAACAGTGATGCAAACACTTTAAAGGTAAATTTATAAAAAATGTAACAACCAAAACTGTTCATTAACCCCAACTCCTTAGCATGATTTACTAGGAACCATACCCATCCTGACAAATTCCAACACCATACGGGAAACTGCATACACATATTTCTGACTGCTTCTGAAGGTGTCAGTATAGGGGTACCTTACCCATCCTGACAGATTAAAAAAAAAAATGCCCTTGGGGTTTCATGGATTGGGGGAGGTTAGGGTTACTTGATGCCCCGTTTATAGGTTTGGCTGCACAGTGCAGCACACTGTCGAACAACTTAGGCCTATACCAAATGAAATACACATTTCAAAATGCAGGACCATGCGTCTTAAAACCAAACAATGTCTCACCTCTGCCAAAAGCACGAGCACTCTGGGCCAGTTGTATCAGCTTAGGATGAACCTTCTGCTTGGCTTCCTGAAGGACTTGGATCAACTCATTGGCCTGCCTGGCGTTGTTGGATGTGAAAAATGTGTATGCCGTACCAGTATTCTCACTACGTGCTGTTCGTCCAATGCGGTGTACATAGTCCTCCGAAGAATTGGGATAGTCATAGTTTATGACAAACTTGATGTCATGCACATCTGTGAGCCATTTGATAGTGTGAAACAAATCAAAAAAAAAAATCAAAAATCGACTGACAACCAAATTAAATGGGTAAAGGAGGAAAACAATGAATGGCTCCCTGCATCAACAAATCATTTGAAAATACTTACCAATCGCATACATGTACAAACTCAATGAAACAAAACCTAAACATCAACACTGTGATATTTATTTCTATAGGTTACTAATTAAAGACACAGAGTAAATGTTTATGATGCACACTCCCTAAACATGTGCAATGTGTACTTACATTCCCCACAGTTGACAGTTGACAATGTAGCACGAATTAATGCACATCAGGTGTCACAAGAGCAATAGTTCCAGGAGGAAGGAACTCCAAGGTAGTTTGTCTTGTGACACCAAGTCAGAGGTGTCCCGAGGAAGGAGCCTCCTCCAAAGGGAGCATGCATCAGTTGATTATATAGGTGACAGATTTCTGACTGACACAAACACTTGCCTTGCTCTTGCTAGCCCTTGCTAGCAATCTGTGCCCGTCTACTTATTACAGCCCTTGGACACTGGTCATTTTGTCAATTAAAGACTATAGCCAGCATCATGTCCCCAAAAATTGCCGCCAGAGGCAGTTGTGTGTTCTCTTTTTTTTCCACAGTTAAAAGTTTCACATTAAAGTGATGTCAGCAGTAGATCACTCCAAAGGCACACTTTCCCAAAACGTGTTTGCAAGTTTAAGGCAACTTAAGACAAATGTTAGTGTGTGAGTTGAGTCACCAGTGCCAGCGTTGCATATTTAGGTGATGCAGTACTGACGGCAGGCAATTCCCAGCATGACATCCAATCAATCACTATTGCGGGAGAGATGAAGGCTTTCAATGTAGGTCCAAGTCCTGGTGATCTCAGCCTTTCAACAGGAGCTCCAAGATGGCGAAAGGGCGTTACTAAAGGATTGAGGATGCGCGCTATTCTGGTTTGGACTTTTATTCAGCCCATTACTAACAATGATTCTGCAAGTGTAAACATAAATAAATAGTTTATCACTTAATTGAGCTGCTATTAAAAGTAGGAGTTGTTTATGTCATACCAAGGCAATTTTTTTTGCCTAGTACTGGGCCTTGTAGAAGTAATAACAGCCATGCTTTCGTAATACAGAGAGAAGAAACTATATTTCAAACTGTGTATGAAATAATGATCTTTCCAGTAACAGCCCCTTTCACTTTCAAAAAGCCTCTCCCCCGCTCAGTTAACGATGTGTCATGCCTTGGGTCCTGCCAAAGACTTCATTCTACATAAAAAAAACAAAGAGGTCTCTCAGATAATTTCTAAAAATAAAATGCAATTAAATGTGGTACTTTTTCCTTATCAATAAAATCTAAATGCAATCATAAAAAAACAGCATCATCAAATCAACCTGTATTTTTGTGCTTGTTGTGGTGACGTCCCCGAACAACAGATTATCAATTGATTACTTTTTCACCCTCAAGTTATATGATTTGTCAACGGTTGTTCTATATTTTTTCTCAATGATTATTTTGTACATCATTTTTACACTTTTGAATTAGGGCTTTAAGATCTAAAACAGATGAACCTTTTTCAGGAACAGCATTTTGAAACGTGATTTAAACTAGCTTACACAGGGTCTAGGAGTACCAACCATGATGTTGCAATTTGGCAGAAAGAACTGCCAAATACATGGTTTCACAAGAGATCCAATTACTCACTGCATTCAAGATTAAATGTACAGGTTCTCAGGTCACTTTTGGAAGAGGCAACAACGTGCTATCAGATTATCTCAATTATTCTCTTAATTTTCTTTTATTCTCAACAACTTTGTCTTGGTTTTAAATATTTCTACACCCAATGGGTTCATGTTCAAATGAGACGTGTCCACTTCAACCACTAAGACTTTCGGCAAAACCAATGCAACAAATCATGATTTTGGGCAAATAAAGCAAGAGATGTGTGTACATCAGTACCCTTGGGCCAAATGACTGCCACCTGGCCAATCAATTCCCCTACATATCCTGAAACCAGATACTAAGAGCCACCTCAGCCAAAGCTGTATTTTGTAATCTGAAATTAAATACCAAACAGGCTCTACCATTTTGAATGCCCTTAACCCGGAAGGGGCCGGGGGGGGGGGGGGAATCCCCCCCCCCTCAACATTTTCCGTGATAGCCTCTAAAAAAAAAAGATTATCGCGACCCAAGCTGTTATGACTTTTTAGCCTCGAGCTTTGCGCATCTTTTGATACCAAAAACATAAAAATCGGACCATGGGTTGCCGCGTAGCGAAAAATTTTCGGTGCTATGCGCCGTGAAAACTGAATTTTTGCATATACGTCGTGTACACAGAGCAGAATTGCCATTCGTACATATGAATAATTAATTAGCCATAATTCCAAAACCCTTTGACCTATAGTCCTGAAATTTCTTGGGTATGTTTAGGAAGAGTTGCTCTATGCATGTGCCGAGTTTCAAAATTTTTCGTCACTCGATGGCCAAGATCCCCCCCCCCCCCCCCCCCCCCCCCCCCCCCGGCTGAGAGATGGTCAAAATAACCCGGCCCCTTTAGGGTTAATGAACTTTTAATCACATATACATGTAATATATACATGTCTTTCAGCTTTGACTGGACTGGAAATGCAAAATTATAAAGAGAACCTGTAAAGAGGTACATTTGGTCAGCATGACATTTAAGGATACGCTTCGAGGTACAATCTGAAATAAAAGCTGTCCGCAAGATTAAATGAAATGAGCTTTTATTTTGCCCTCATAAACTACAAAACAAGTTATGTGGTTGATGACAAAAATGTCATCAGGACTATAGTAGGAGTTTGTACCAAACTTTCTTATTTTCAACTTTAAAAAAAATGCTATCAAAAGGAACAAAACTACCACTAAAATAGAACAATATATATCGTTATGCATGGTATCATTTCTATGCTTTTGATTACAATTCTGATACTTCATCAATGATGCCTCACTTGGTTGCCCTTAGGTAGCATTGCTAGGAGACAACTTGTAACCAGGAGAACTGAACAATTTACTCAAGTATTTTTGTCACAGTCCAATTGCACTTCAAATCATTCAGAGACATCCTTTAGTGTAAGCTGTTTAACACTTCTATTCAAACCAAACCACATATTTTTGCTCCTGTTCTACAATCAATTTACATGTGTTTGAATGAGCGCAACGATGTTAAGCAATTTAAATTGCCCGAGGGTTGCTGATATCTTCAACCCCAAATTCAACACACACTATTTGCTCAAAATACCTTCTCTGAGATTAATATGTGTATTGGTAGTCTAACTCATCAGACGATTGATCCCTAGGGCCAACCTGACCCTCCAATATTCCAAGAGATACAGCCACACTTCATTGGCATTACTTACCCAAGCCTCTGGAAGCAACATCAGTAGCTACAAGAATGGGTGCCTTGCCTGAGCGGAATTCTAATAAAAGTTTTAAAAAAAAACCAGTATTCCGTCAGCATTCAAGAAATCTATTGAAGTACATCTGACCTCCATTCAAGCATGTAAAATAAGCCAAACAAATTGTTGGCAATTTTTTTCACCCTGTCTGTAAGGTCTACCTGCCTGGTGCCAACATTTAATTTGAGTCATTCCAACATTTTGTAAAGGAGTAGTGATTTTCTTTACAGCGGCTCTACATTTCCCCAAGCGAAAAAGGAAAAACATAAAACCCGCAAAATCTAATAGTACATCAAAGGCCAACATAGTCTTATTATCCAACTACAGAATTTTAAACACTACAGGGTGGTTAAAAAAAAAAGGACACCCACATTCGACAGGAATTTTCACCTATTTTTAAAAATTATTTTTCACTGACCATTAGTAGCTATTAAAGTACTGGCCTTTAAGCAAATGTGATGAAAAAATCGTTGCATTTGCACAGTTCGTCGTTGAGCTATGCCAATTTGAACATTTCATGTGCGAAACCTGTTTGTCCACGAAGGTATCCCTTTGCTTGACTGAGCTCAGCTATCGGAGCTTTATTTGAAAGGGCATGACATTTGATTGTTAAGTTATGTAATGTTATGCAACAATGAACTTAAGTAGATGATCTTAACACTGATTTGAATAATTGGAAAGCTTCAATAAAAGTTACCAGGGCAAAATATATTTTGGTGGGAAAGTTTATTAATTTTTATGAACTACGAAAACTTCTAATTTACATTGAATAACCTGTGGACAAGACTGAGTTTTGGTGACTTGTACTCAAATTAGCATAATATCACTATTTTTGCGACTTTTACTAAGCTTTTCTCACCATACATGGTTAAAGGACTATACTTTACTGCTGTGTAAAAAAATATTTAAAATAAGTTCATTAACCCTAACAACCCTGAGCCCATCAAGCTCTAACAGCGGGTTTTGCTTGATTTTGGCAGGGTTGGTACCGAACACTGGCCAGCTGGTGTTGGACTTTGATTGACTGGGTACCAAAGGCCCAGGGAGACCCTGTTGAATTTTGTGAGGTTCGGGGCAGAAGGGCATGAGATTTGTGAACACGTTGGAGTTTGAGGGAGTTCACTGGCATTTCTTCGTGGGTATGCTCACCCACGGTCCTCAGCACAGTTTGTGGAGTTTGGGGGAGTTCACAGGCATTTTTTTGTGGGTACGCTCACCCACGGTCCCCAGTACAGTTCCTGGTCAAATATATTGCTTTATTTTGTTAGGTTTGGTACCATCCCTATCCAATCACTCGACAATGCATAGGCCCATCCATACCAAGTCAATCAAACTCCAACAGTTGGAGTTTGGCAGGTTTAGTACTGTTCCCCGTACAAGGCCTGTTGGAGTTTGGCAGTTTTGGTACCAGTGCTTACAGACCTGTATGCAGCTGTTGAAATTTATTAGGTTTGGTATACTTTCTAGTGCAAGAGCCTAGGGGGTTAGGGTTAAGTAGGTAAAAATTGCTGTCAAAAGTGGGTGTCCTTTTTTTTTTTAACCACCCTGTACAATTGTCAGGGTGTCTTCAGAACTGTGTATTGACTCCTGTGTGTTACCGTGTATTAAATCCAAGTCAGTCACTGGTTAAGTTTCAGATAATTTGTCACTGACTGGACTACTAGTACACCATAGGTGTTCAGACAAAATGAGGTGGTAGACCACTAAAGGCATTTTTTTCTCTCCAACTTGTAAAAGTTTATGAGAAGGCAGTGCAGCAATGAAGAGCATGAAGCTTACCATTGAGCACCCAGTCACGCTCTGGTTGAGATTTGTCACCGTGTATACACATAGCTGGCCATCTGCAATGATCAATTTGGATGATTACTGCCATGCATTGGACAATACTTGGGCAATGCCATTGAGCAATTCCTACTGTAATACAATGTTAAAATGCCTGGCAATTTCACATTGGGTCACCCATTTTCAAAAACATGTGCACTTTTGGAATTTACTTAATACCCCATGCATGTGACACAAAAATGTACATATCCAAATGGTCAATAATCACTTCTGTGGGTCAAGGGATTAAGATAAATCATTTCCAAGTCACCCTCCTCTACTCAACCAAGCATTTCTACTCAAGTATTTTATATAAACCTACCCATCCTTGCGCATTTTTCTGGTTAGCTCATCTGTTCTTCGTTTTGTTTCGGCAAAGATCAATGTCTTGTTTTCCTTTTCTCCCATGATCTGTTCCAGTAGTTTAATCAACCTGGAAAAAAAAACGAGCCAGAAATTCAGTCAGTGAATTACTTATCAGTGAATGACCTCAGTATTGGTGTAAGTCTTCCATAAGCACCGACTGTTCTGTGAAAAATACCTGATTTTAGAAACAGGAAATTGGCAATTGTACCGTAGTTGAGACCCATGCAATTGCCAAATTGGCCTTAAATGTTGTCACCATTTCATGGCAATAATATCCATGGCAATAACGTCTACGCCCTTTTCACTCATTGCTACACAAAAAAATCCAACCATACAGAGGCAAACGAACTAAGATCTTCACGTGCCCATTTGCAAAATATTGCCCAAATTAGGATGATGAAGTAGTGGGGTGTGTGTCATGAGACATGTTCTTAGGAAATACTAAAAGTGCTCCTTTAACCCTAACTCAGACCTGCCAACCTTTGGGATCGAAAAACTGTATTCTGAATCTCCAAAAGTTGTATTTTTCATTAAAAAAACTGTATTTTTCAAAAAAATGCATAGACAGACTATACGAACAAATAAATGTGGCTGCAATGCTCCATTTTTAATTCATCTTAATTTAAAGTTATAAAAACATGACTGGAGGTCTCCCTGCGGGTGGTAAACCCAATTAAACAATTTGCATGAATAAGGATATTGATCATATACCTTATTCATAAACAACTGCTTTTAAAAACTATTCAATGCAAGTCTACTTAAACATAAACTAAAGACTAGACTTCCTCATGTTTGAAATAATTAAACCTATAACGCAGGTGAAACATTCATATGACTTCCAAGTATAGTCAAACTTATTCATGTTTTATCACGTCGCCGCCAAGTGCCAGTTTGATTCTTGAATCATAATTCACGTGCGCGCACTGAATGTTTTAAAAAATACACAGTGATCGAGCAAAGTTTTATTTTAAACTTGGCCTACCCAAAAAAAGAAATAAATTTCTTGCATTTGCTGGCTGATTTACCTGGTTCGGTTTGGGCCGCCCGCTTTAATTGTTGATTTTTCTTTTTTTTTAAATTGGTTTCGAGAACGTAGTATCAAACTTTACTATTAAAAATGTTTGACATAACGGAACACCACGTGCACGGACATTATGACTATCGTACACAAACATCAAAATGTATTCTGTGTATCGTGCGTGCACTGAGAAAAAGAAAGTCTGTTGACTGCACGTAAGATCTGCCATACGTACTCCGTACGTACTCCAGCTGGTAAAATTGAAGGATTCAGAGGAGGGTCAACATTTGAGAAGAATGTGAGGTGTCTTCACCATTCTCTTTTTCCTCCTTTTTTCCTCCTCAACTGTCCTGACCATGATACTTTATGACAATGACATTTTCATGAAGAATTGGTGGAACGAGTGTTGCTACTTCACCCTGCATTGCTGGCAATGACATGTAAAATCATGCAGGACAGCACCCCAAGACATCATGACATCAGCTACACACAACTTTTGGTTTTTTTAACTTGGTTTTAAACTAAGCCTTAAAGACCATGGCCCAATTTCATAGCGCTGCTTAACAGCGGACTTTGTGCTTACAGAGCCTCCATCCATTTCATAGGGACCGTTAAGGCAAAAAAAAATAATACTTCTGCTTCCGGTTACCCGACCGACCCTATTTTTAGGCTGCGACCCTAAAAAATTTATCAGCAATTCCAAAAAAATAAATAATAATAATAATGATTGAATAAATAAAAATAAAAACCTGCTGTCTTTTCTGTCTTCACAAAATACCTCTCAACAACCCTTTTGCGTCAAAAAATGCTTGTATTTATTTGTTTTCTTACTTACATTCGCTATTTTTTTAAAAAGAAACCTCCGTTATTGTTACAAATTCGCTTCGTGATGTACTACTTTGCAATTTGATGTCAGGGTGACTATAATCACGTGCGTAAACCTGGCTCAATGCGGCGACGACTGGTTCCCGCCGCGCCTCGCAGGGGCCAATTCAGAAGACATGATGAAAATGCGGTAACTAGTCTGTGCACGGCTATGCGATCGATAGCACTAGCATGGCTATGCATTGGGCACATATACTGTCAACTGATCGGATTCGACATCGTAAAAATGCCAAGAAAACACCGATGGAGAAAGAACATTTTTGCAAGTTAATTCACAGAACTGATCTAGCTTGTTTGTGTATGTATTTTCCGTGTTCAAAAGTTCATTTTGAGATCGCACTACTCGTATTTGACGTGATACAATGCAGCGTGTTTCCCGAAATTTTCGACCGTAAAAACTAGGTCTGTTGGCCGCGCGCCACACATATACAGTGCATCACACACTTCGGAGTTTTGGCCAGCTTCCCGTCTTGACTAGCGTTGTGCATATGGTGCGAACGACTTGACTAGCGTTGTGCATATGGTGCGAACGACTTGAATTTTGCATTATTTTTTACGAATTATCGAACGTAAATATATTGACAATAATTAAGGTAGGTTTTATTCACTTTTTGTGGCCATTTTGTGAATAGCTTTCGTAGTGCAATGGAAATAGTTCAGGCTAAAACTTCGCATAACTGAATACCCCATTCAATCTGCATAAAAAAATTGGCCAAAAAAAAAAAAATTCTGACCGACCGAACCTATTTTTGAAAGGCATGTAATCGGAAGCAGAACTATTTTTTTTTTCGGTCTAAGCAGTAAGCACAGCAAAAGCACGCATAACCCCAGAAGAAAACTATGCTTAAATCAGTGACGTAACAATAGAAATCTCCATGCACGCAACCGTTAGCATGAAATAGTGCTTAAGCAGCAGCATGATTTTCTGCTATAGTAAGCACAACTTTTCTGCTTACTGTTAAGCAGTGCTATGAAATTGGGCCCATGTGTGATGCTTGATTATTAACATCTTTCAAGGTTATTGCAAGCAAAGTGTTAAATTAGCCCGGCTTCTCAACCCTATGGTGTCCTGATAGCTTTTAAGAGAAAGTACAGGTAGCTGTCACTTTAAAAAAAAACTAATAAATAGATCAATAATAAAAATCGTGTTGTCTTTTCTGTCTTCACAAAACACCTTTCTTCAACCCTTTTGTGTCAAAAATGCTTGTTTTTATTTGTTTGCCTACTTACATTCGCTATTAGAAACCTCCTTTGTTTTCACAAGTTCGCTTCGCAATGACTAGTTCGCAGTTCGATGTCATGGTGATGATATTAAAACGTGCGTACATAATGCTCAATACATCGATGACTGATCCCCCGCGCCGCGCACTAAAGGGGCCAAAGAAGGCATGATGGAAATGCGGTAACCAGTCTATGTACAAATACAATGAAAATGTTAAAATTAAATGAAGATGAACTTACTTTTCATCCTTTTGGAAGTCATCACAAACATCTATTATCTGCAGGATGTTATGGTTAGCAGATAATGTAAGAGATCCAATATTGACAGTAAGATAGTCCCTCAAGAAATCCTCAGCTAGAGAGCATACTTCCTTTGGCCATGTAGCACTCCACATCAGAACTTGTCTGTCAGGCTGTACAAAAAAACAGATGTGGATATATGTTAATCGTTTCGGGATTTGGGAACAAGTTTGAAAATCCACCGTTTTCTTCATACCCTCCCAAATTTATAATTTTGTAAAATGTCTTTCTCTTATAATTGCAGTTTCATTGTAGAATTATTTTACTACATCATATAGGGTTATAAGTTTACCAAGAAAAACCCCAAAAAACCAATCCGCTTCCAATTTATACATAATAGGGTTCAGTAGGCTAGGAGTTTTCTCTCATTTTTTTGTTTTTGTTTTTGTGTTCTGATTTATTGGAGTATTTACACCAAATGCATACAGTCGACTCACGTTAATACAACTTCAGCCTGACCTAGCTAAAATATTTGTTATATTAGCATTTTGCATTAAGTGGAGTACGTGTCCTATTTACTGCACACATAAATGCACAATTGGGAACAAAGCTATATGTTTGCTGTAACCACAATTTTTTAAACAGAGTTTGTATCAATGAGAGTTGACTGTATTTTCCCTGGTGATCAACTTGTGAAAGATAAACTTGTGAACAACTCATGAACTTACACACATACACCTTTTGCGCTTTATAGTGTAGCGATGATGTACAAACACATGCACAAATATCATGTACACGGGAAATCAGCCCTCTGCTTAATCAGAAATTCAGCTACGACACAGTTTGTGAAGGTCTAGCGAATTTCGTACAAGCAGAAAGTCCACTCTAGCTTCATGATCACAATGAGGGCTTTTACAAAAAGGGTGCTTCACAGATGAAGGTTTCTACACAGAAAAGTCAATCTAACTTCTGTCAGTCAGAAGTCAGTCTTTTTGGAGAACCACAACAAGTAACCTACAAAATAATACAGGACATATTCTCACCCTTATTTGTTCCATGATCTTTCTTATTTGGGGCTCAAATCCCATGTCCAACATTCGATCAGCCTCATCCAGGACAACGTAAGTACATCTTGCTAAATTTGTTTTGCCACCTTCCAAGAAATCAATAAGACGACCTGGAGTTGCAATGACTATCTCACTTCCTGTGCAGAAGAAGAGCACATCAACTCAATATTACTTACATTCTCTTATATTACAATAATATTACAATATACATGTACTACCAAAATATAATCAAGCCATCAATAACTGATGCAATCACCGATACACAAAAAATATATAAATATAAGCAGGCAATAACAAAGAACAATTAAGTGAAAACAGGTTGTCTTTTTGGGGTTGTTTTTTTTACTAAGAACTGGTTACTGATTGAAATGATATGGCTGGTGGTTGTACAACTGGTGAGTATTCTTACCCCTTTCTAGATCGCGAAGCTGAGGCCCCTTTGACGCACCACCATAAACACATGTGCTCTTTATTTTGGAGGTCCTACCAAATTGAAAGGCCACACTCTGCACCTGCTGTGCAAGTTCCCTGGTGGGAGCTAAAACCAGACACTGAAAACAAAGACAAATATTATGATGATACCAACCAAATATACACAAGAAATTTGGAATAACCACCTTAATTTGAAAATCCGTAATCCAATGGGTGTCTTCATCTTAACCAGTTCGCCAGGATTATTTGACAAGAACGGAACCAGGAGTGGAATTAATTTTCACTTGATCTCAAGCCAGGCGGGTTGAAGCCATCACCCTCGGGCAGAACTCTCATATTTCCAGCCTCGATCGCTCCGAGCGGGTCGCCGACAGATATTTCTGGCCTTGCTCCCTGCGTGTTTATCCATTATCTGTTCCGAATACCGCAAAATCTTTGTGTGTATACACGCCATCCGGCGCAAACTGGTTAATTACCTGTGGTTTTACATAAAGTTGTTTTTTATATACTTGAGAAATATTCCTCAACCCCAACCCTCTTCATTAAACAAGGTTGTTTTGGAAGATTTTGAAGGATTGAGGCTGTATGCCAAAAATTGTCTTTGAAGAGTGTATACTTCACGCGAAAGCGAAGTGACTTCATGACGTCAGCAATACGTTCGAAGCACGTCCACCATTGTTGACGACATGACTTTCGCTTTGCACTTGCTTTCGCGTGAACCAAGCATAGTTTATGTTCAGCTATGCAGAATTGAGGCCTACTAATACTGGACATCATCAGCACTACACATGGATATCATCCACACTGCCTCAATGTATTACAGTGATTGTTGGAGGATTTTGAAGGATTGGAGCAGTAGTCCCCCCTCCACTGACCAAATTCAAGAAATAACGGATGATTTTGGAGAATTGAAGCTGTATACAATTTTCACATGTTGGTAGTGGGAGCATTTTGAAGGATTGAGGATGGCTCCTAGCAAAAAGGGGCTAGGCAGTTTGGGTTAAATAATGCCTCCGGAGACTGCTTATTTATGATTGATTGAATATTAATTTTGCGATTGTACATGGAAATATTCACTTTTGACACTTTATCGAAAGCTGCAAATATCATTGTTGTTGTTATTCAGGACTCTAAACCTCAAAAGCCTTTGTGAATTTGAAAGTAATGTCCCCCTGAAACACTTGCAGTTCAATGACCAACTGTTTGACAACTGTGGTATTTATGCATTTCCCTCGAGGTATAATGGTATGGTAATTGGGTTTATGACATTACATTTACATCTATGCTATACCATTTTGTATGGAGAATGTAAATTCCGAAATGAAAACTAACTCAGTATCCATTTTTATTAACAAGATGGTTCTCGAACCATGCGTCTTGCCTGCTTTCGCGATTATCTGTAAAGAGTGAGCTTTGACCTTGGTGTGTGACCTTTGATATCATTATCACTTGAAGGTTCACGTTGCATCTATGACCCAAGTTTGGATCCAATTGGACTTCAACTTTTCAAATGAGACAATGTTCAGCTTATTATACAACTTGACCTCATATGACCTTTGACCTTGGTATGTGACTTTGACATCATTATGAAGGTTGCATCTATGACCAAAGTGTGGTTCCAATTGGACTTCAACTTTTCAAAGGGCCCGTTTTTACATTATCAGCCTATTTTACAACTTCACCTCAGATAACCTTTGATCTTGGTATGTGACCTTTGACCTTGGTATATGACCTTTGACATCAGTATCATATGAAGGTTGCCATGTGGTATCTATGACCTAAGTTTGGTTCCAATGGAACTTCAACTTTTGAAATGAGACCAAGTTTTTGAAACTTTAACCAAAAATACCTCAGACAGACATCCATACACACAAACATGTTCACACTTGTCGATCGTGGACGTCCTATTGTCTCCCTTTTGTTTGTACTTTTTAGGAAGACTCCCATAGGTTTTGTACACGACCCCAATTGCGGATGTATGCTGGGAATCGTGGACGATATTCTTCTCTTTTGTTCTCAGGAATTTTTCATCCATGGTTCGAATAGATGAACACGCTCATACATACATGTACAATGTACATACATACACGCATACTGAAATTTGTATCCTTGTGGAGATATTTCTTTGTTCTTGTGTACTTATTTTTTTGAGTTTGAAAGTACAGTTTCAAAATGCTCTTATTTTAACCAGAATTAATTTCCTCGGGTGAAATTCGGACTTAATATCCCTTTTCTAAAACTCTACCATTTGCGACGGATCAACATATCTTGGAAATTCCTAGTTTTTGAGTAAAATCCATATATCTATTTCGTGAAAACCTTGTGGAGAAATTGCCCTGTGGAGACGTATACAATATTGTGTTCCTATTGTGTGCATGTCTTCAGAGGGCACGGTGTACAAGATCATACTACATACATGAATACATGTACACATACGGACAGACAAAGTGATTGCGTAGTCTCTTTCCTGAACAAAGTTCAGGCGAGATAAAAACAAAGTTAAGGTATGTTGAATATCTTTTAACTACAATGTATAGCATGCATAATGACAAAAAGAAGAAAGAACTACATATAAAGGACTTACGATTGGACCATCTCCTCTCTCAAGAAATGGTTGATGGTTGATGTGTACAATGGATGGTAATATGTACGACAGTGTTTTGCCTGAACCTGTCTGAGCAACACCAACCATGTCTCTACCACTCATGGCTAATGGCCATCCTTGAGCCTGGATGGCTGTTGGCTCAGTGAAGCCACATTTTTGAAGTTCATTGATAACATAATCTGATTGAAACAGGAGAAAACAAAACAAATTCAATTGAACTAGAATTCATCAACGGTCACTTCATATAAGCAGCTTCACAGAATGAACAGTTGCTTTTTACATACATTCAATATTTTCCCTGCTAAATTTGACTTTTTAGGACACATTATGGCGTCCTGATGGCCGATAGGTGACTGCAGGGAATTAGTGATGTCCATGTATGGAACTCTTCCCCAGAGAATGTTCAGAACATCTTCAGAACATCTGCAGACTTTTTACCTGATTTTCCATTCTTCCAGCCAGTGGTTAGTAAGGATTCAGGTGCTTAAGAGTTTTTAACTCTTCACTATTGCAGGATATTGAAGGATTCAGGCTGCCTAGACAGTTAGAGTTAATATATACAAAGCAAAGACATTCATATGAAGCATGAAAAAGCTTTTCAAGATGGAATGGCTGACCTATTGTCAATACCAAATTAAGAAATCATAAAGCTGTACCTGGAAAACAAGCCTCGCTGAACCTGAAGACTGGTCTTGGACAATTCCGTCCCTTGGTTGTTATACTCCGTTCTCCTGAGAAACGATCTATATCGACCTGTCATGAACAACATAAAATATGAAAAACATGTTTACAAAGCTCAAAATATATAATCAAACCACACAACATTCCATTTTCAATTTCCAAAAGCACATATGTAGCATGATATGGGACAGAGGGAACCCCCCCCCCCTTCCTTTGTGTTGGTCATTGTGTTACCAGAATCTCAGGAATTCTTTTGAGATATCTAGGGGGATGTGTTAACAATAGTCTAGGGTTGCATAGGGTATAGGGAATATGGTAATAGTCTAGGGTTTGCTGGGTATACAAAAGCAATGCCCAATAACAGAGCATTCACTCAGACAAAAGTCTTACAGCCTGCTGAATAAATCAAACTCACCTGAGGTCTGTTTGATACGTCAGGATGTTCCTTATAAAAGTTCTTCTCAAATGGTGTAAGCTTAGCTTGATCCCATCTGGGCTTTCTTAGTCTCTCTCCAGGCTGTCCAAACTTTTCTCTCAATCCACCACCTCCCATACCACCACCTCGACCACCCCCACGTCCACCAAATCGAGGTGGTCCACCTCCACCGAAACTACCACTTCCTCCACGAAACCTGAAATTAACATAAAAATTACTTAAGTTTGAAGCAACTTCTTATTCCAAATTGAGTTTGTAAATAAGAACACAAGAAGGTTTCCAAAGCAAAGAAAAGCAATAAAAGAAAATGCTTGTATACTTGTGTAAATAACACCAAAAGAAAGGGTTTCCAGAGCAAAGAAAAGAAATACATGTTTATTTTTGTAAATAAGAGCACCAGAAGACAGAAGAGTTGGAATAGCAAAAAAAGAAGATACAAGTTATCGCACTGACAAGATTTCCATTATTTTAGCCCCTGTGACCTTGACCCTTGACCTTTCGGGCCCAAATGCAAAAGGCTTCTTAGGATTACCAAGAACAATCCACAAACCAAATTTTAAGTTCATATGTTAACCCTAACCCTGCCAGACGCAGCACAGTGCATCAGGTGGAAAAGTCTGGTGCACTTTGATGGAAAATGCTACCAACACCAGTGCAGAAACCGGCCACTTCTGAGACACTGAGGGCTAGTCCCATAGAACAATGCCCGAGTTGTATCCTGCTGCGTTGGGGGACCACAGACTCTGAGGCAGTTTGGCCTTGAGACTTTTGACCTGATGGATCTTGCTACACTGGGCAGGCTTGTCACTTAGACAGGTGTTGCATGTTGCTGCATTTGGCAGGGTTTCTAGCCAAAATACCCTGGAGGGTTAGGGTTAAGTATTTCTTAAGTTATCGCGCTGACAAGATTTTTCCGGACACACACACCCACCCACCCAAACCTGTGTTCACCGTCGATCGTGCGCTTCCTATTGTCCCTTTTTTGTTTGTACTTTTTTGTAAGACTCCCATAGGTTTGCTTCAATCCCAATCGCGGACGTATGCTGGGAATTGTGGACGATATTGTTCTCTTTTGTTCTCTGGTAGTTTTTGTCCACAGTTTGAAAAGATGAACACGTACACGCATGCACACCCACCCACCCACCCACGGAAGGAAAAGGCGGAAACACTATGCCCCTTCGGCTTTGCCGCGGGGCATAAAAAGGAAAACAATAGAAGAAAGGAAGGAAAAAGTTATTTGTAAATCTTGAGGAAAACAGTTTTTAAAAAATGGAAAAAGAAAGAAAATATAACACTAGAAAAAGAAGAAACAAGTTACTTGTAAATAAAACAATAGAGCACTGATCCACCAGCAACTACATGTACTTTTGTGAATTATCTGAACACCCCCTCCACAAAGAGAAGCAAATATCAACATCCTAAAGCCCAGCAACTATCCTCCCATGCATATATGAGTAATATGTGGTACCTTTCAATGGCTGTCCCGAGAGTCAAAACTGGTTGACCAATTTTGACCTACCACTGTACTAATCACAAAAGTATAGCAGGTGCTAAATGCCCATACTTCAAATAAACATTTAAATACTCTCACAGGTTTTTAAGCTGCACAGAAAAATGATGATGAACATGTCATCTTTCATTTTCTTTTCATTTTTTTTGGTGAGTTGACCACTGACTTTTCGAAATATTCTCACCCGAAGAAGACGACCCCTATTTTCCACAAAGCGGGTAAGTAGCCATCTTGAAAAACGATCCCTCCACAACATGGCAAAAAAACACCACTTTCGAGCCCAATTGCATCCAAAATGCTCAGAATTGGAAGCCCCAAGTCCGGGCCAGAGGTTCAGTGCCATATCTCTTCAATTCCCAGAGCTCCCAACATTCAGATTTCAGAAAAAAGTACTTTTCATCGAATCAGTATTTATTGTTCGCGCATCACCATTCAAACAAAAAGGTAGTCAAATCCCGTCAACAGTACTATACTACTATTAATTCCCACAGAGTGTCACCCATTTCATTCTATTCTTGTTTAATGCTAACAATGGATCTTGATTTTGTTTGTCCACACTGATACTGTTTGGCAATTTTGCTATTGGGAAACATCTGGAAAAATTGTTGCAACCTGACGCCACTTTTTTCTTCATAATATCATCTCAATGAAGGTCATTCATTGCAAAAATGATGATAAGACATGAAACCTTTCAAATTTTGTTAGGAAATAGGCCTTCTTAGAAAATGTTCTCGACTCTCCATAGACTTTGTACACAATCGCGGAAGTGGCGTCAGGTTGAAAAAATTTTTTTCCAATGTTACGAAATCTTGGCCGCGCTTCAGTTACACACATGTACATGCATGTACAATACACTTCATGCCCAATTTCCGGAAACCAACTCCTGCTTTATTTTACGATGAAAAAAAAGGTCAGTGTTTTCATTGCATAAAACGCCTGAATTACGGTTAGAGTAATGGAGTCATCATCAAAAAAGTTCACTTCTTACTTGAGAAAGTCAAGGAAAAAGTCCGAAAGACAAGGGCACAGTTCATGGTGCTTCAATCATGTCCATGATTCAACTATTCAACCACCACTTGCATTCGTACATGGGGAAAAAAATCAGGCATTATCATCTTTCTCTTCCAACAAATGCGAAATGTTTTGCTAATGCTCTCTTCGCTATCCTCAAGATAATCATCATGATATTTAACCCTAACAACCCTGAGCCCATCAAGCTCCAACAGCTGGTTTTGCTTGATTTTGGCAGGGTTGGTACCGAACACTGGCCAGCTGGTGTTGGACTTTGATTGACTGGGTACCAAAGGCCCAGGGAGACCCTGTTGAATTTTGTGAGGTTCGGGGCAGAAGGGCATGAGATTTGTGAACACGTTGGAGTTTGAGGGAGTTCCCTGGCATTTCTTCGTGGGTATGCTCACCCACGGTCCTCAGTACAGTTTGTGGTCAAATGTGCATGTACATATTGCTTTATTTTGTTAGGTTTGGTACCATCCCTATCCAATCACTCGACAATGCATAGGCCCATCCATACCAAGTCAATCAAACTCCAACAGTTGGAGTTTGGCAGGTTTAGTACTGTTCCCCGTACAAGGCCTGTTGGAGTTTGGCAGTTTTTGGTACCAGTACTTACAGACCAGTATGCAGCTGTTGAAATTTGTTAGGTTTGGTATACTTTCTAGTGCAAGAGCCTAGGGGGTTAGGGTTAAAGGATTGCATTTTGTACAACTAAATCTGAAACCTCCGAAAATCGCACAACATAATGATTTTATCCACTGGATCGTTCACGAGGCTACCCGTTCCCGACCGGTCATGTGCTAGCGGACGGTGCGGTACGTACGCTGGTACCATTGCATATCATCTTTGTACATAGATGCACACATGTGCGACACAGTGATTTTTCCATGTCACCTGTCAATGTTTAACCTTTTGTCCAGCCGGAAGAGAGACCGATTAGTGTTATGGCCTGTGTTTCTAACGTTGAAACAAACCAATAACGACTGGTGAAAGAGATTAAAACTACGTTCGCGATGATTTTAACGTGCCATTTTAATCGACTTTTCATCGACATTATGATTGAAATAAAATGACATTTTGTGGAAAAATCGTTATATAATCAAATTTTGTGGGACACATTGTAAGAAAATCAGAAATTTTGTTGGAAAATTCAAAAAATCATATTTCCGATTAAAATCGGAAAAGTTTCATCTCTGGCACATAGTGTCATAGACTGGCAACCCGTCCTTCGGACGTTTTAAGCAAACTCCTCCTATAAGGCGGGAATGGCGCTTTTTTTCAATGAATATTTTTTTGAAAACAGCATCGTCAAAAATCGTAAATTTGAAGAATTAAATCATAAAAGCGTAAAATGGGTAGAAAATCATAAAAAAATACGTCAAAATCGTACTTGTTAGGAGCTCTGAATTCCCCAATTTTATGGCTCTCGGAACTCTCTAATATAGAATATTTTGAGGGTATAACTTTTATTCATGAGCTCGGCGGATGGATTTAGGCCTATTTACTGGTGTGCACCCTTATAAACTGCTAATTGCTTAATAAAAACTTTAAAAAAATTAGTTTGTAATTCATATTCATTGCTTTCATTTAGAAAACTTGAAATTCCACGACGATTGTGAGCATCAAGCATGCACTCGGAAGTATACGAGGGGCGAACTTTTTGCTGCGTCATGTATTATTTTGAATTTGACGACTGTTATTGGGATTTTCCAAACCTCGGCGTGGTCTCCATTCCGCTTCACCTGCTAACAGTGCTATTTGGGTGCCTAACTTTGAGGATTCCAGGTCAACATTAGTCAATGTTTTCTTACAGAAATATCAAACTGTATTATCATAACTGTTAGATATTATGAAGCAAGTGATTTATTTAAAAATTTGATCGGAACATTAACCTAACTCCCTTGGCCTTTTTGCTAAGATGTAGCCTCAAGCCTGCAAAATCCTCCAATTGGCCTCATGGAAAAATAGCTTATAGCCTCAATCCTGCAAATTCCTCCGTTATTTCTTGAATATGGTCCATGGAGGGATGACCACTGCCTGAATCCTGCAAAATCCTCCGGCTATGTCTGTCAATAGGCTGAGGCAGAGTCAGTGACATCCTGGAGCAGTGCGGAGGATGTCAAGTATAATCAAGGACTAAATTTATGCACGGCTGAGCATAAACAACACAAGGTCCAGCCCAAGCCCTTGACACAGTGCGTACTCCGAAATCAGCAACGCACTTTTGCCATGTAACCTCCATCCTGCAAATTCCTCCAATTTGCAAAAAGGATTTTGGAGGATTCAGGGCGGTTAGGGTTAAAAGCTATAACATAATTTTTGGAATATAAGCCGCGGCTTATAGGTTGATTTTGCCCAAGAAAATGTTTACTGCGGCTAATACACAGGGCGGCTTATACGCCGAGCCTTGAAGAATAAAAATGAGATTTAAATGTGTATTTAACCCTAACTCCTGGGGCTCTTTTACTAGAAAGTATCCTGAATCCGCCAAAATCCACCAATTTTGTCATGTAAAAAATGCTGGTATCCTGAATCCATCAGAATCCCCCAATGTAGATCCTGGAGGTATCCTGAATCCGCCAGAATCCACCAGCAAAAGTCTTGATGGATTCTGGCGGATTCAGGATACCGTGGTGGCAAAAAAAAAAATACAGCATGTTTTTCCATAGAGTCTTCAAAATCCATCACCTAAATTTCTGGTGGATTTTGACGGATTCAGGATACCATAATCGCATGAAAATTGTGATGTGTGTTGTTGCATAGGATCCATCAAAATACACCAATGCATGGCGACCCCAGCATGGATCAGTACCGAAGTGAATACGTCTCGCGCACAAAATTTGTGTGAAAGACATTAGCGCGTGTTTCAGCCCGTAAACCATAGATATAGAATGAAAAGACTAGATCGGCAGCGCGTCCACACGCGCCCAGTCACTGTGCGATAAATCTCCGCCATTTTGGGTGTCTCTCATAGACGCGCAACAAACTAACGTAAAGTAATGGAGCTAAATGTATCTTTCCTCCAGCACGTGACCTAGCTCAACACGCGCGAAGCAAGAAATGCGCACCGAGTATTTACGCGATGCGCACACATAATTATTAGCGATGTACATGGTGCTCTTTGCGCGTAAACGGCATTGCGTTTGTCATGTTTTTGCGCATTATTTGTATCTTTCCTCAAGCACGTGACCCTCCATGCAAGTCCACCCAGTACATGTGTGTACATGTTTGTACAGTATATGACAGACTTGGCAGGGCTAGTGCCAGCAGTATTTACTTGACCACAAACATTGCAAAAGAGTTAAACTGTTGAGATCTAAATCCATCAAAGTCCCCCAATAGCTCAAAATGGAGGTGTCCTGAATCCATCAAAATCCGCCTGTTCCGCTAGGCTTCAAATCCTGAGTCCATCAAAATCTCCCAGTTTGTTCAATATGGAGGTATCCTGAATCCGCCGAAATCCCCCGAAACAGGGGGGTGGATTTTGATGGAAAATATCTGTTGCTGAAATGAATTATCAATCGTTACCGGACTTGAGGTACCAGAAAGTCATTAACAAACAGTGGAAGCACGTCCCACAAAAAGGTACCGAGCGGTACATGTACCGGAAGTGCGGCTGGCCATGCGTGACTGAGCTTTTTTCGTTGGCACATCGATGTGACATTATTTTGTGCTGCATGCATGCCCAATGCAATATGCACACTTGTGGACCACACCATTTGTGGTAATAAAGGAGTGTATCGATTATGATAATGAGTAGACTGGATCACGTTTGTAAACACATGTGCATTTCAAACGATGATAGGGAGTCGGGAACTAGCGCAGCTTTTATGGCGGATACCAGTTCAAGCTGGTTCCCGATTCCCTTTTACAGTTCGAAATGCACATGTATGTGTTTACAAACGTGATTCATTATCATAATCGATGCATCGCGCGCGCTCGGTAACGGAATCGCACTCGGGATACGGGGACCATCGAATGTACGCTGGGCATGAAGAAGAAATCGCGTCGTTCAAACATTAAACACGATCGGAAATTTAACGTGTTCAAGATCGCGAGGGGAGCTCTCCGAAATGAACGGAAAATTTCACTTTTTTCCGGATCGTAAGTAAACTTCAGTACAACCATCTTAATCATCGATGTCTACTTGTACCTCAGGTCAGGTGGCATATCTAGTAATTTGGAGGCTGTCTTGAAGGTGAAATCTGATGTTTTTTGTTGGAAAATGTTGGTTTTTGGGACGGTGTTGTCCAACTCGCGGTATTAGCTTGGACCTTACTATCGCCAGACCATGTCCAAATGTTAAAAAAGGCGATAAGTTGGGTCCAAGTTACTCGGACTAGGAACCGGACTACCACCGGGCCTGCAGCGTGCCTCGTGCATGTGTGATTGACAGGTGAACGATCCCTGCATATTGGTTCGTATCCCGTCAGGTATTGCGCGAGGTCATTGTTCAGTTGGACCGAAAAGTTGCCAAGAAGGCTCCAGAAAATATCGTAAATTACGCAGCAGCTGGGCAACTGACACTGGAAGCAGGTTCAAACTTTGTTATTAAGAGGGTGAGTGTATTTTTAAAGCATAAATGAACTGGGTCTGAAGTCGCAATGTGGAAATCACTTTGAAAACTTCGAGTAGGTTCAGTGATGGCGGATGTGTGGCCTATGTTTACGGAGGCAGTCCAGTAAACTGGCCACATTTGGGGCTAAGAGTATGTAGGTGTGAAATAAGCTTCTATAACGAGGTAAAACATAACAAAACTCTTGGGTGTTTCATGTAGAGAATTCTTGCCCTGGACGTTAGTCTTATTGCAATGAAGACTTCGTCCAACCTGGGCTAGTCCGAGTAACTTGGACCCAACTTATCGCCTTTTTTAACATTTGGACATGGTCTGGCGATAGTGGGGTCCAAGCTAATACCGCGACCTGGACAACATCATCCTGTCACTGTCCCAAAAACCAACATTTTCCAACAAAAAACATCAGATTTCACCTTCAAAACGGCCTCCAAATTACTAGGTATGCCACCTGAGATACAAGTAGACATCGATGATTAAGATGGTTGTACTGAAGTTTACTTACGATCCGGAAAAAAGTGAAATTTTCCGTTCATTTCGGAGAGCTCTCCTCGCGATCTTGAAAACGTTAAATTTCCGATCGTGTTTAATGTTTGAACGACGCGATTTCTTCTACATGCCCAGCGTACATTCGATGGTCCCCGTATCCCGAGTGCGATTCCGTTTCCGAGCGCGCGCAGTGTATATTTTGCCGGAGACGGCAAACCTTTAGTAAACGTTAGTTTGCCGGATATGCACTGAACATGCGCAGTTACTGTTTTTTTTTACTTTTTCCGGTGACAAGTTTTAGTCTGGCTCCATGCCAAAATTATCATTGTTACCTCGTATTCATAAGATGGGATTCAGACCATTTTATAATTTCGGACTTTATTTCCCTTTTAAAAAAAATCCTCCAGAGCCACAAATCTGAAAAAGAAAATGTAATACTCTGCAAAAAATGTTTGAGACATGTTAAAATAATAAAAGAAGAATATTCTTATTTATTTGGGGATGAGAAAAAAAACCTTAAAAATGTGGTGCGGTAGGAATCGAACGCGGGTCGTCCCGCTTACTAGAGCCTTTGCTTAACCACTACACCAAACGTGCTACACAGCTTTTGGTGGGAATTTAATACATCTTATAATTCAGCCCTATTTTAAACAGTACAGCGCCCTTTGTTGATATGGATTTCCGCCGGCAAATCTTTAGTAATCGTTAGTTTGCCGTCATTACCTCCGGCAAAAGATCCACTACCAGTACCAACATTAAACACGATCGGAAATTTAACGTATTCAAGATTGCGAGGGGAGCTCTCCGAAATGAACGGAAAATTTCACTTTTTTTTTCCGGATCTTAAGTAAACTTCAGTACAACCATCTTAATTATCGATGTCTACTTGTACCTCAGGTGGCATATCTAGTAATTTGGAGGCCGTTTTGAAGGTGAAATCTGATGTTTTTTGTTGGAAAGTGTTGGTTTTTGGGACAGTGACAGTATGATGTTGTCCAACTCGCGGTATTAGCTTGGACCCCACTATCGCCAGACCATGTCCAAATGTTAAAAAAGGCGATAAGTTGGGTCCAAGTTAGTAGTTACTCGGACTTAAACCTGGGCTACATCATGACCGTGAGCACACACGGCGCGCTGAATCCCAAGGCACAAACCGCGTAGGAAAATCGTGATTTCTACTTCAAGAAACTGTTCAAAATTGCAAAACGGGTGTCATTAGAATTGAGAAAAGTCTGCTCTTGATTGTAAAGGTGATTTTTGAGCAATAAAAAACATTTTTGACTCTAATTTGTTCAAAACAAAACAGGGGCCCTACACTACATGATCGCTGAATTATGAACCTCAACATCACCTGAACATGATGAACAAAGAGCAAACATTTGACCGTCAAACTACCCTCAACTCACCCTCCGCCTCCCCTTCTATCTGATCGTCCTGAGGAATCAAACGGTCTCTCTCTTTCGTATCTCGACATCTTTTTCACACGAATTTAGGCTTCGGGATTATAGTTGAAATTAGTAAAGCGAAGTATGCCAGGATCCTCAACGAAATTGTGCCGGATATTATCTGGTAATCTACGTATATGCTACCAGGCGGCCGCGTGTGCATGTGACATACGTATTCACGTGCTGAGTTTGTGTGCGCAATGAGGCCTACGTCATTGATTTATCGGTGTCGTATCAAATTCCAACCTGCACAATACTGAAGTTCTACCCGCGCGTTACCCGTTATCAACACGCTTAAGCATGCGCAATAGGTCCAAAGAGTCCACTTTGCACATAGTTCAAATTTTATACTTACACTATTATTATTCGCAATTAAGTCCGCATCGCATTGGACGAATATTCATCCGCCCTTTGCTATGGTGGCCCTGAAAAGACTTCAAATACGTAAAGAATTGATTTCACGCCATCGCATTTTTTTTATATCGACATACTGCACAATATTTCACAACATCGCAATTTGTTTTTCGTGACATCGATTTTTTTTGTCGCAAATACTTGTCAAAACCACCTTGAGGGTTTTAACAGATGTGGCAGGGCCAAGATTATCTTGTAAATGTTCATGTATTTATAGTGTATTGAATAGTAGCTCCCCTCAGCAAAAAGAAAATCATTTTAGTTTTAGTTTGGATTCCCCCCCCCCCTTGTTGGTCCCCCTGCTTGTTTACTTTAGCCCACAAATCCCCCTATATAAGCTCAGCCACATGGTCAACCACATGCAGCAGATCAGACCAGCAATGTACAGTTCACAGGTTTTTTTCATTACAAGTTCAAGTTCCTGCTAACTGGGGTGGTGTTCATCGGCGGCGGAACACTTTTAAAAGTGGGGGGGGGGGGGGCGGGGGGGGGGGCAAAGTCCAGTTACTGTTCCCGGAGCAGAATTAAAGCAAAATCAAAGCAATTGGGAAAAGTGTGAAGTTGGTCCGAAACGAAAGTGTGACCTACGTAATGTCTGCTAACCTATGCATGTGGACTATTCCTACCGTAATTTTCGGAATATAAGCCGCGGCTTGATTTTGCCCATGAAAATGTTTACTGCGGCTTATACACAGGGCGGCTTATACGCTGAGCCTTGAAGAATAAAAATAAGATTCACATGTGTAGTTAACGTACTGGTATAAGGAGAGAGGTGTTGCTGAAATGAATTATCAATTAAAACAGTCATTAACAAACCGAAACCAAGGTACAGAGCGGTAAAAAGTACGGTGAAAGCTGTCTTCGACGCTTGCGACCAGCCGTACGTGATACCATGGGTGGTGTGCAGCTAGCTGCATGCTTTACCCCAGCGGACCACACCATTTGTGGTAATGAAGGGGTGTACTTTCTTGGGAACAATAATTACCAATATTTCTGAATTAAAAAAAAAACGAAAAAAGACGACTAATACTTTTTATGGTGTTCGAAACATTTCTTTATTAGATAATAAGTTGTTCAACGTCACAGTATATATTTTTTTCTTGAAACGAATTCAAGAAACGATGTAAAACACAAAACAGGGACTAAATCACCCTTAACAAAATTAATGGATTCGTCCATAAAAAATGTCAGCATCGTTTCGTACGGCGTTAAAGGGTCTTTGGTTTTGACTATTTTTGAAGAAAGTAACGATCGAAACTTGAATTTTTTACGTTACTATTCCCTAGTAATCACAAAAATTTGAAAAGTTTTGAGGTAAAAACGGACCTGTTTATTCTTAGGACAAAACAAGTCAGCATCTGTTGCCACAAAAGCAAGATTTGTAGCGCTCCAGTCAGACAACACACGGTGGGTTGCATACTCTCTCACGTATAGCCTTGACCAAGGCTATCAGTTGTTCCCATATGAGCTTGTTCCCGCTACCGTACACCGCGCGCGCAGCGACACAATGTTGTACTATACCGTTAGCCCCAACGACCCTTGCGTGTGCTTTGTGTGCATGTACGTATACGCCCCACACACACTTCCGCAAACAGCCGTACAGTAAGTCGAGGCGGAAGATCGACTTATTGTACGGCTGTTTGCGGAAGTGTGTGTGGGGCGTACGTACATGCACACAAAGCACACGCAAGGGTCGTTGAGGCTAACGGTATAGTAATAGTGATTGTGTCGCGGCGCGCGCGGTGTGCGGTAGCGGGAACAAGCTCGTATGGGAACAACTGATAGCCTTGGTCAAGGCTATCTCACGTACTGCGGGAAAATGTTGTCATTCACCGGCGCGGCTCAGGCTGCCTGGCCGGCCATGCACTAACTTTTAAGGCCGGGGACCGGGACGGGGCAGCCGGCAGCAGTTCCCGATGTTTATTTCTCATCATCAATTTCCATATTTGTTTGTAAGAGTATCGATTGAAAATGATTTGATATAAATTTTGTGGCCCTTTTTATAGCTTCTGTAGTGTAACTGGAACTGGTTCAGAGCTTTTTGACTAGAATTTGGAGGCCTTACAAAATTGGAACCGCTGCGGTGGGTGCCGGCGGCTTATATACGCCGACTTCAGATCTTAAATTGCAGATTTTTGCGTGCTGCGGCTTATACACCGCGCGGCTTATATTCCGAAAATTACGGTATATCCCTATTTTTCGTATCATTTTTCTAATTTTGTGTCGCCATACTCACTTAGGTATAAGGCCTATTGTCAAATTTCAACCCCAGCCAGGGGTGTTAATCGCTTTTCAAGAGTGGGGGAACATACTTTGATCAGAACTGATGCGAGCGTGAAGCGTGAAGCCCTTGAGGCGTGGGGTTCGGGGCCCGCTTAAGGGCCCCGAAAAAAATTGGATTCTAGATGCTCTGTGGTGCGATCTGAGGCAATTTCTGACCACTTTAACCAATATTTTCTGAGCAAAAGATACATTGTAGTACATAATACTATTAATAGGGCCCTGTAAATGAGACACGTGTTCAAAAATCTTTTTTACCTCTTGTATCATTTTAATTAACCTCGTTTTTAAAAATCGCTCATGGTAAAAAGTGGGGGGGGGGGGGGCAAAATAGCTACCTATTCAAAAGTGGGGGGGGGGGGGGCAACTGCCCCCTCTGCCCCCCCGGTTCCGCCGCCGGTGGTGGTGTTTTCCTGCTTGGGTTTGTCTGTTGTTAATGTTGGAGTCATTGGTTTTTAGTTCATTTTTTGTGCTTTTAGAGTCATTTTCCAATAGTGCTGTGTGGGTTTTCTAACTTTTTTTCCTTTGGTTTTCATTCTTTTTAACTTAGTTTTTTTTCTAATTTTCCCCAAATTTTATCCAATTGTTTATTTTTTTTATCGTTTGCAATTAATTCTTTAGAGTTTTTGTATTCGTTGTTTGATCAAGATTGATATTCCTTTTCTTTTTATCCCAGTTTCAACTTACTAAATCGCGAATTAATCATTTTGAACCAGGTTTTTTCTAGCCTCCATTTTTCGCCGTCACACCGAAACCTGGGATGATTAATTTTCTTTAGGAATGAAGCCATTATGTTTTTAGCTGGGAGTGGACACATTTGTTTTCTTCTTCAAAAGCCCTCTCATTTTTTTAAATCGAAACGTACAGTGCTTTTTGGTTAATGAACTTGAGGAGCGCAGGATGACTGAAACACCATGGCGGAGGTCACTCCTGACTACCTTTCAGCTGTGTGGGTTTGACCCACTGCCCACCAGCTCTGACCCTGTAGCTGAGCTGCAGTTGAGCATCTTACATTACAGCTGCTGCAACATTAAATACAGATGTAGCAAGTGACTGTGTACAGCAGTTTGGACAACTGAACACATTGAAACCAGTGATCCAGGAATCTCTGTCTGTCTGTCTGTCTGTCTGTCTGTCCGTCGATTATCTCCAGAACCGGGCACCGTATAAAGTTGAAAATCGGCGGGTGTATTGCTCGGGACAACAGAATGTGCAGTGTCAAGTTTGTGGTTTGGATGAGGGGTTCTCGAAAAAGCTGCAAAAAAGCAGCATTTTTTGAGCTTCAAGTTAACGTGGCAGAGTATAGCCTAGAACTAGTCTGGTTCCCAGACCTGACAATTATTCCGACGCTCACGTCTTAAATTGTAGGTCAGGCCAACCTCGTCCCCAGGGTGTCGAGCAGTACGCGCCCACCACTACCTGCTCTCTCACCCTGGTATTGGACATTTGCATGTGCAAGATTTTTGAACACGTATGCAAATGAGAAACAGTCTGGTGCCTGGATATGCGTTACACATTAGAGTTTGTTTTTGTATGCGGTGTCTGGGGTAAAAACAGAGTCAATTCGTAGCAGCGCGAGCAAGGCGTGAGTTACGAAAACACGATTTTTAAAATCAAACTGTTACGATCTTATCGAGACAACATGCAGTATCATATTTCATATTAATATGAGCAAATTGTAAAGGAAATTAGTATATTCGAGAAGGCGTGGACGAATGATCGCGAAAACATGTACTGCACGTTGTGAATAATAGCACCAAGTACACGATAAAAATCCATTACTAGCCAATTGCGTTATCCAATCAGGATACAGGAAGAAAGTTTCCTATCCAGGGTTTACTATTGGAAACGCGGTTGGAAATAAAGTAAGCACTGGGGACGAGGTTGAGGTCAGGCAGCCTCCGTGGCTAAAAATAAACATGACGACATTAATGGCCCTTTTTCAAAGCGCGGCTTCGTTTCCGATTTCGCTTTATCACTTGTAGCTTTTAATGTTCTGATCAAATTTTTAAATAAATCACTTGCTTCGTAATATCATACAGTTATGATAATACAGTTTGATGTTTTTGTAAGATAACATTGACTAATGTTGATCTGGAATCTTCAAAATTAGGGAACCAAATAGCACTGTTAGCAGGCGGAGCCGAACGAAGACCGAGTTTTGGAAAATCTCGGTAACGGTCGTCAAATTCAAAATTGTACATGACGCAGCAAAAGTTCGCCCTTACGATCCGAGTATATTATTTTGATGCACAAAATCGTCGTTTAATTTCAAGTTTTCTAAATGAAAACAATGAATATTAATTATCAACTCATTTAAAATCAAATTAATAAGCAATTAGCAGTTAATTAAACCTATATTATATACTCGGAAATACTCGGGCGCTATCCGATTGTCGACGAAACGACTTCGGCAAACTTCGGAAAAAGGAGGAATTCCTCCCGTTTTAGTCACGTGACGTAAATTGTAATACATTGTATTACCGGAGGCTAACCAACCTCGTCCCCATTCCTTTTTTTATTTCCAACCGCGTTTCCAATAGTAAAGCAGGTAGTGGTGGGCGCGTACTGCTCGACACCCTGGGGACGAGGTTGTGCCTAGCTATATCCAGTGTACATTTTCTTAACCTTTGCACTAGCAATCTTTGACGTACGTACTGATGGATACGTACTTTAGGCCCTATGTCATGTGTGTAACCATTGAGCAAGGGTAGGAACGTAATGGCTGACGCTCCGTCATCGTTCGCTTCTCCTCAAGAAGAGTTAGCGTACTGGAAAAAACTGGCAGATGATTACCGGAAAAAGTAAGTATCAATTACTACATAGACCCACACTGGGGCACTTGTTTTTTGACATTTGGGATGTGGTCTGTCGTACGGAAGCTTGAAATGAATTGCCTTCCGCGAGCGCGATACCGCGTTACCGCGATAATTTATGCCATGGCAGTGTATATTTTGCCGGAGACGGCAAACCTTTAGTAAACGTTAGTTTGCCGGATATGCACTGAACTAGACCCGTGAACGTGGCGTTGTATACAACGCCACGTTCTTGTTTCATTTCGAACCTGGCGAAATCGATCCGACATACATAATTCCGTATGGGTGTTGAGTACTCACCTAGAAATCTAAATTTGCCCGTCCGATTGTTTCGGCCGTGTAATTTCGACGAAATTTGCCCATCAGTAAAGACCCATACGAACGTGTAGAAATTAGATTTTAACCTGACCCTGACAAATAACCCCGGACGCGTCTGAGTCGCTTGGACAGATTGACGGCTGTTTCATGTCGCAACCCCGAAAAAAAACCCCCCGCAGACGATTGGCTGCTCGGCTCATCTCGTGTACAGCATGCAGTACGTGTGTGCACACACACGCGGGCGCACGTGCGACCGCGTGCGGTGCGGTGAGAGAGGAAAGGACTTGAAACTTGTCTAAAACGATGTCTGTTTTAGCTGCGACAGTAAACAGCCGTCGAATCATATGAAAATAAAACGCAATGCGCATGCGTCAGTTGGGAGAAAATGGCAGCTAGCAGTAGCGGACGGACTTCATGAACCGGGGCCAGAATTTTCCTCAATTTTCGTCAAATGCAAGTTTTGACGTACAAATAGAATTCAAGACAGCTTCATATGTGAGTACTTATTACATGGGCAAAATAACGTCCAGTGTGTGTAACGGAGGGAGTCAGAGGGACACGTTCGCCAGGTTCGAAATGACATAAGAACGTGGCGTAGTTTACAAGCCACGTTCACGGGTCTAGCACTGAACATGCGCAGTTACTGTTTTTTTGTACTTCAACATTTTCGGGTGACAAGTTTTAGTCTGGCTCCATGCCAAAATTGTCGTTGTTACCTCGTATTCACAAGATGGGATTCAGACCATTTTATAATTTCGGACTTTATTTCCCTTTTTAAAAAAATCCTCCAGAGCCACAAATCTGAAAAAGAAAATGTAATACTCTGCAAAAAATGTTTGAGACATGTTAAAATAATAAAAGAAGAATATTCTTATTTATTTGGGGATGAGAAAAAAAAACCTTTAAAATGTGGTGCGGTCGGAATCGAACGCGTGTCATCCCGCTTACTATACTAGAGCCTTTGCTTAACCACTACACCAAATGTGCTACACAACTTTTGGTGGGAATTTAATACATCTTATAATTCAGCCCTATTTTAAAGAGTACAGCGCCCTCTGTTGATATGGATTGCCGCCGGCAAACCTTTAGTAAACGTTAGTTTGCCGTCATTACCTCCGGCAAAATATCCACTACCATAATTTATCGCAGAAATCAGGAATTCAAAGATAATTCCTTCCGCGATACCGCGTTACTGTGATAATTTATCACAGAAATCCAGAAATCAAAGATACCTATTCCGCGATACCGCGTTACTGTGATAATTTATCACAGAAATCCAGAGATCAAAGATACCTATTCCGCGATACCGCGTTACTGTGATAATTTATCACAGAAATCCAGAAATCAGAGATACCTATTCCTCGATACCGCGTTACTGCGATAATTTATCACAGAAATCCGGAATTCAAAGATAATTCCTTCCGCGATACCGCGTTACTGTGATAATTTATCACAGAAATCCAGAAATCAGAGATACCTTTTCCTCGATACCGCGTTACCGTGATAATTTATCACGTGACACCGCGCACTCATCGATTGTAGAGAGGAGAGACATATGAATTTAAAGCTTCCGTATACGTGATTAATTATCGCAGTAACGCGGTATCGCGGAAGGAATTATCTTTGAATTCCGGATTTCTGTGATAAATTATCGCAGTAACGCGGTATCGAGGAATAGGTATCTCTGATTTCTGGATTTCTGTGATAAATTATCACAGTAACGCGGTATCGCGGAAGGAATTATCTTTGAATTCCAGATTTCTGTGATAAATTATCACACTAACGCGGTATCGAGGAAGGATTTATCTTTGAATTCCTGATTTCTGCGATAAATTATCACGGTAACGCGGTATCGTGGAAGGATTTATCTTTGATTTCCTGATTTCTGCGATAAATTATCGCGGTAACGCGGTATCGCGGAAGGCAATTCAAGCTTCCGTACTGTCGTATAGTACTACTACTATAGTACTAGCCCCATAAATGTGGCCTATTTGGACTGCCTCCGTAAACATAGGCCACACATCCACATGTACAAAAACGTGTCGCACTTTGCCAAATTTTGATTTTCACATTTAGGCTTAGTTTGTAGGATTTTTTTTGCTTTAGAAGCATAGGCCTACTCACCCTCTTTATAGGCTAGTCAGAAAGTGCTGCCTTTTTCAGATGTCTAATTTTTGTGAAATTTCATGTTGAAATTTTGATACGCAAACGTGTAAAACTAAAAAATGAATCTGGAAATTTCACGAAAAGTATACATCTGAAAAAGGCAGCACTTTCTGATTAGCCTATAAAGAGGGTGAGTATGCTTCTAAAGCAAAAACCTACAAACTAAGCCTAAATGCGAAAATCAAAATTTGGCAAAGTGCGACACGTTTTTGTACATGTGGATGTGTGGCCTATGTTTACGGAGGCAGTCCAAATAGGCCACATTTATGGGGCTACTTTTTATAGTACTAGCCCCTAGCGCCCCACAAAGCACAAATCCTCATTCCGGAGATTGTCAAATCATGGTCATGATGGTCAAATCATGGTCAAATAAAGGCACTGGATATTTTGCCGGAGACGGCAAACCTTTAGTAAACGTTAGCGTTAGCTTGCCGGATATGCACTGAACATGCGCAGTTATTTTTGTAGGATGGAACGCCGTATTATCGTGGTACGTGGTTTCTCATTCAGAATAGAGATTGCCCACTATTCCTTCCCGAATTGTCCTGTATTTTAGGTTGTAGGCCTATAACTCTTCCTTTTCAAAATGATATAAACAAATCTGACCGTGGTGTGGTTTATTCCGTGTACGATGCCTGTGAAAATAGACATGCTTGGGGTGTGCGAACGGAAGTGGACTCCCTATTATTGCGGTATGCGGGAAGTGTTTTTTAATAAAGATCTCAACATTTTTTTTCATAGTTAATTAATGTTTTACCAAAACATCCCCTGAATAAAGTCTCATATTTTCCCTGTAACATTCAAGTTGATTAAAGACTATATCCCTGCAGGATGATTTCTTAAGTTAAAACCCTGCCCCTCCCCGAACGGAGAACAAAAGTCACTGTGACAAGTCTACTGATTGGCGATTGGGGGCGCCATTCACTTTACACGGTGTACCGTTTTATTTTTTTCTTATGCGCTGTCCTTATTTTGATCCCGTAAAAGTTTTTACGATTTCTCGGTGGAAATATCGTCTTTCGACTTCATTTTGTGTTTGCAGATGTAGAAGGGGAACCAGACAATGGAACTTTCAGAGCACCATTAATGATTCATGTTAAAGCCAAAAAAAATAATAAGTCGGTCTCTGGTCATGCGCGTCGATCTTTTTTTTTTTTTTTAATGTTCCGCGGTAGCTCCAACAGCGCCCTCTATTTCCGCACCTCCTCAATTTTTTTTTACCAAAGAGCACCAAGGAATGGGAAATTGCACCAAGGCAAATGATCAAAAGCATCAAGGCAAATTATGGAGGACACCAATGTACATGAGGACACCAAAAAAGCAAAATAGTACCCACCTTGTCTGTACAATCCAAGCTTGAAGAAAAAAAAAAAGTAAAAAAAAAAAAAAAAAAAGCCGCGTGGCCGCGTCAATTCCGGAACTTTGGTCTGACCAGAGACCGAATATTATTTTTTTTTGGCCTAAAATATAGACGGTACCTTTTAGCAGACACTGTGAGGGAAAATTTGCAGGTTTGGAAAACGTGAATATTTATTAAAAATCGTTAAAAGTCCCGAAAGACACATTTTTTAATCGTCCTTTTTGTCCAACTCGGCACTTTTGTCCACTTGAAGGAGTTTTGGCAATGCAAAAAGAGAAATTTCTCATGCCGCGATAATAGGGATGCCGCGATAATAGGGAGTCCGACTATACTTAATTTTCCGGTGACAAATTTTAGTCTGGCTCCATGCCAACATTATCGTTGTAACTTCGTATTCACAAGATGGGAATCAGACCATTTTACAATTTTGGACTTTATTTCCCTTTAAAAAAAATCCTCCAGAGCCACAAATCTGAAAAAGAAAATGTAATACTCTGCAATAAAATGTTTGAGACATGTTAAAATAATAAAAGAAGAATATTCTTATTTTTGGGGGAATGGGGATGGAGAAAAAAAACCTTAGAAATGTCGCCAGCAGGGATCGGGATCGAACCCGGGTCTTCCCGCTCATGCAATCCGTTGCTTATCCACTAGACCAAGGGTGCTACACAACCGTTGGTGGTAATTTAATGTATCTTATAATTCAGCCCTATCTTAGAGAGTACAGCGCCCTCTGTTGATATGGATTGCCGCCGGCAAACATTTAGTAAACGTTAGCTTGCCGGCATTACCTCCGGCAATATATCCACTATCTCAAATAAATGTCATGAATGTCATTTTTCCAGACCATTTCTCTCAAAAGTTGCCAAAAATCAAGCAAAATACTTGACAAAAATACATGTACCTTTCAAAGCACCTACTGGCTTCTCCACATGTCAAAGATGCAGTAATGGGGCTTCAGTGATACTCACGATTATTTTTGGGGTTGGAAATCTGTGAAATTCGACCAGTTTAGCAAAGACATCAGACATACATGTAGTCCGAGAGCCCAGTGAGGTTTAATTAGAATATCGCACACAAAAGGTTTGATGGTGGCAGCGAGTAGGTGGGGGTGTCCAACCTTCGAGGGGGGGGGGGGTCTTCA